AGAAGATGGAATAAGAGGATGCACAAGAAACCAACAACGAATAAGGTGTAGGCTCAGTGTACCATCTGTGAACCCTACTACACCTTTTAGAACATCTTAACAGTGCTAAAGGTCAGCAAGTATAGTTAACGGCAACATTGGCTGCCGACGTCTTGGTCATTTGTACTGAGATTAATAACACAGAGTGCGTAGTGAGCGTAGACTGTGGAGAATCGTACGTACAAGAATAATGGTAAAATTGTTAAAAATAAGGCTCTACCAGGGGAAGCCACGCTAGCTGTAATCTGCATGCTAATTTTATTGTCAGAACCGACAATAGAGCCATAACGAGGTTTTCATAAGTATACCATCTGACTAATGGGAAAAGCTGAACAGGAAGTCTTAATTGTAAATAAAAATATATTGAAGGAAGAGGGAAACAGTGCTAACCTTTAGCTTTTATCTTGATTCTCAAGTGATCTATTGTATTTTCATTGATTGTGAAAAAAGCTACTACCCTTTAACATGACTGAAAAAGAAAAATAGATGAAGAAAATGAAACTTTATGTGTATTACTCTAGTTTTGTAGAACAAAGAAATCAGATGTTATTTCTGGAGGACAATCAAATAGACACGCTTAATGCATAAACACAGACTGTAAGCCGGACTTTTTTGTGTACCACGTAATATTAATTGCTGATTTCACTAGTTTGATTTTTCATATTGCATATTTTCTAGCTTTTAATTCAACAAGTGCGCTAAAAAGATATAACATCAGTATCTATACCATTTTTGCCGTTGTTGATAATATATACGTGCAAATATTGCTAAAGGTTATAAAGATATTAGAAAGTGTTAAAACGCATTTAGATTTTTGTTTACATTAGTAAGGTAAAAAATAGGACACAGACACGTCAGATATTTGTAATAATCATGAACTTGATGAGAGGCATGTGTTTCTAAGTTATAAATATATATAAAAGTCTCAGTTATATTCTCATTTTTTTTTCCACTGCTTTTGAATAAAAGATTTATTAGTAACTGCTTTCCTCCAAAAATTAGTATAAATGTGTGAAAACTAACCCTAGACAAAAAGTAAAGGGTAAAAAATAACAAAAAATCATTACTATGGTATGAATATCTATATTACATATTGACCTATATATTTTTACACGATACGGCATACTAATAAAATGTAGAATGAGAACCGTAAATTATTTAGCTATCAGGCAAAAATATAATCCTATCCCGCACTCTCTTTTCTTTCCTGAGAAGTAAAAAAGAACACACACACACAAAGACACTACAGAGTAAGCTTAACAGCAACCCCACGAGGGGGTGGGGGAGAGGAGAAAGAGTAAATAATGAAACTCCGATGCAATGTTAATCTTTTTATTCTTCTCCTTCCCCCTTCTATTTATACCTAAACTTACCTAGTATAAAGACAAAAAAAATGAAACAATAACCTAGTAACAATGAAGAATTGAGATAAAACTAAAAATTAAAATATAATAGATAGTTTAGCACTGACTACATAAATGACGTAAAAAAAAAGAAAAAATATAAATAACAAAACAATTTGAAGCGAGTAAATACGAGTTTTATACGGAGACACCTGCAACATACTCGGTGAATAGCTTCTTTTGTATCTAATATATTCCCTTTTCTATTATTGATATACCATTGTATTCAGTAATACCCAAAATAATCATTACATTGAAATTCAAAATTATTCCACATTGTTACCATCACGGTCAAAAATATGAACATTTGTAAAATCGGTAACAGGAGGGTTTTCATTAGGCGTAAACTCGGCCATGCACACAGGAGGGCAAATGTTCCTGGTGGATAGTTGTGAAGTAACCCAGCGACCTGAGGCGTTTGTGCACGGCATAAACTGTTCTTTCCCCTTTGGGCATTCGATAGCGCGCTGGCTTACGAAAGACTTGCTCCTCATGAGCCCTTCTGCCTCCATTTCTACCCATTCGGGAACCTCATCCAGGGGTTCATCCTCGTCCTCTCGATCCTGGCAACGCCATACTATGATAAATAAAATTAAACAAACGAGGAATGAGACAATGAAATAGGGTATCCACCACTTGTCGGTGGGAGAGGTTACATGCTTTTCGATCTCACTGAAGAGGGGAGTCGGGACCTGGATCTCGCAGACGGCAAGAAACTCATCTTTAGTGGCCTCCCTCGCGGCGGTGTTCCACCCACACCCCGAAACCACATTGGAGTAATTATACCCTGCGTAGCTGTAGCCCCCGACGTCGAGGTTGTCCGACCACTCCACCCCTTTTTCGCTGCCCACTACGAGGAGGTCGTTGCCGAGGAGGCAGTTTGGCCGATGGTCCGCTGGGGTCAACCCCTCGCGATTGTTCTCGAAGTGAGAGATGAACCCATGCACCAGGCCGACATCCGAGGCATTCAGATCGTAGTAATTCCCGATAAAAAAGGTGATCCCGAGACCGGGGGTGTAAAACCGGCGTGAGGCATCGTCAGGGAGCTCCCGCCAGCGCCCCTGATTCCAGCGCCAATAGCAATCGCTGGTCGCGCCGCCGTATGGGAATTCCTCCGTGAGCGGCCGCGGGCAATTAGTGCGGGTGGGGTCGAGCGTTGAGGCGCCGAGGTGTGCGAACCAGGCCCCCTGCCCCGCCACCTCGCGTGCGGTGTCCACCATAGCCGCGTGCGTCGCGGCCGTAGGGGTCGTAGCGAGGTAACCCCCGATGCCCTGACATAGTCCATGGCTGCTCTGCTTGGAGGCGACAGGGTCCTTGAAGGCGAGGAAAGAGAGAACCGGGACGAACTGAATGCCCTCGGCCATGCCAAAATGAAAAAAACTGAGGAGAAGGAACACCCACAGGACCGAGTAATGCCGGGGACGCCCGGGAAACAAAGCAGGGCGTGCCATCGTCACACACACGTTGAAACTCGCCGTGAGGGATCGCGTTCGCGTTGAGGGTCAATGGAGGTTCGATGCAGGGCGCTTTAGGTGTTAGACAATGTGGACTACGGGTTAGATCTATGAAAATAAAAGATAGAGTATCAAGAACGGACCCCTCATTGTTACAAATGTACCAGAGACCGCTCGACATCGGAAAACACTTCGTAATTGACTTCAAGTAAGATTCAGGATTCGAATTATTTGCTATTATTATTAGGATATTCACCAAGTATGTTTTTTTTAATTAAATCCCTTGTGAAAGTGTTGGTGTGGTTAGACATTGCACATTAAAACAACATTAAAAATCGTCCTTCTTCTGCAGATCCCTCTGAAAGGCTTCTAAGTGGCTTGCCATATTTGCCTCATTCACTTCTTTCCTTTTCTGTATTTCAACTTCACGCACTCGCTGATTTTCCACCAGAGCCTGAGTCTTGCCTCGAGCAATTGCGGCTTCTAATTGGTTCAGCCCAGCGCCGGTGAAAGCGGAGACAGCTGCGTAGGGGATGTTTTCGTAAAACTCGTGCAGAAACAACGACATGGAGCGCGCGAGGGTGCTCGCGTAGCTCCCTCCTCTACTGCCTAAACCACCAATCGTGACGTTGTCATCACCACCGCACCCGTCTTGAGACATCCCAGCTACAGAACCCGAGGGCCCTAGGTCCACAGCCTCCTGCAAAGCGTCGTTATCGCGCATCCATGATATGACTAAATCCGCCGAAACCACATCGGTTTTGTTAAAAACTAAGAGCAAAGGGAGCTGCTGCTTAAGCATAATCCCGCTAGAGTACAGCATGGTGGAGACAAAGGTACTAGGGTTGATGCATCTTGTTGTATCCGCCACAAACAGAACAATAGTTGGAAAGACGGCGGCCAGCGATTCCGAGATAAGTTGCCCAGAGGCGGACCACGTAAAGACCTCAATCTGCCCGGGCGTGTCGACAATAACCCACTCCAAGGCTTCTTTCTTCTCTAGTAGGGTAACCACTTGGTTGAACTTCGTGGCGAAAAGATTGAGCGACGTCATAATGGCGCCGTTCGGCCCCAACTGATAGCCATTCATTACCTCCTTGTAGTTTACCGTATCGCGAATATCGATGTTAGCCCTGTATGGTACCGAGGCCACTGCTGGATCAAGGTTAATGAAGTAAGAGCGGATGCCCTTTTCTAAAGCATAGTTCTGAAGCGTGTGTACGAGCGTCGTTTTGCCGGTACCAGCCATCCCAATCACTAAAATAACCACTGGTTGTTTCGTCTCATTGCTTGTAGAGGTTGAGGTTGGATTGGGGTTCATTGGTTCTTCCTCAGACATATCTCCCTGGATGGTTAAAACAGAGGGAAATAGATGAATAATTTCTATTTTAATGAAGCCTTTTTTTTATCGTTAGAAATGTCAAAATGACAAATCAACAAGACAGAAAAGATAAAATAGATATAAGCATCCAAATAGTTAAAAGAGAAAGAAAAATATATTCAATTGACTCTTAGCAATAAATTAATGATACGTTAAATGTCTGAAAAGAAACAAGCTGCTTAAAAAAATAACAATGATGACTTCCTTACATCTTAGGGTATGACGACCTTAAGGAATTGTGACTCATCTCATTTCGCAAGAGACAGCAAAGCTTCTAGACGCTTCAACTCCGCATCAAACTCCGCATAACTTTTTAAGGACCTAAAGACTAACAACTCTCGTAATCGCAATAATCTGCCAATAAAGCACATCAAATCTGTTTTCATCTCCAGCCGAACACCTCCTACACGCGCTGCCAGCTTCGCTGCCAGCTTTGCTGCTAGCCTCATCGCCTCGCTCAATACAATAAGCAGCGTTTGAAGGAAAGGTGATGATTGCCCAGTGGTGGTGCCCATAATCATCGCAGAAGAAGAAAGGGGTGGTGATGATGCCAACTGCTCGATATGAGAGAGTATGATTGTTGGGATATTATTACCCAACCGACATAGCGCGAAGAGAAGATAGCTTGGTCGGTTGTCCTCAGACCGATTTATGGCATGGAGGTTACTCTGAGAGGACTCACCGTTCGGCACAAAGCATGAGGAAAGAAATCGAATGAGCAACTGTGCTAACAAGGCATTTTGGTATGGACTACTCTCAACTTTCCACAAGGTAGAATAATCTGAAGAGAAATGCTTGTAGTCGGACTGAAAAGACGACTGAGAACTCTGGACAAGGACATCGTTCTTATTTTCACATTTCGACCCACGCAACTCCTGTCTCCACCCCTGGTACGACGCTTGTCGCTGAGGCTGTGGAAATCTAAAAGGGAAGAAGTCCTCCCTTACTTTTGTGTGTATACATTCATTTTCCCTTCGATCATAAGATGAATTATCGTAACTGATTTTTCGATTTTTATTTGGAGAAAATGAGATAAGACCACACTGAAAAGGTGGTTCACCAATTTCAACCGGACACCACGTATTAGGTAAAGCCATCAAATGAATACGATAAACCACAGCTGAAAAAATTTGTTCAACATGGGATTGGATCTGATTTGTGAGGGAAGTTGCATTGTGTTCGCTTAAAAAAACGCGTTCTGTTTTGGATTGTGGTTGCTGCTTATCTTGATTGCCGCTACTTTCTATTCCAAGATCTGAATTACCATTTTGGGGGTGATGCAACCACCACTCAATAATCCCCATGGTAATCACTTCTGTCGGCCACATGCCCAGAAGGTGGAGCCATAGCGCGTGCGCGAATTCCCTGAGAGAAAGAACAGACGCAATATAACTAGAAGGTCCGGGATTCGAGGCCTCTTTTTTTCTACTGCGGACTCCTTTGGTCGCAGGTAGCTTCTGCTTCAAATTTGAATGAATATTCTTTGGATTTCCTAAACCTCGCATCACAGCGTCGAGAGTTTGTAGAACAAAAAACATAACATGCATCACACCTATCAAAGAGGATAGCGCGGCGTGTATGCCCTCAGGGTGATTTCTTAAATTGGAGATGGGTTTGGGCAAATCGGACTCACTAATAGAAAGCACGTGCTTAACGGCGGCTGTGACTCCTTCTGCGTGAGGCGGGTAAAATTCGTCCGCCTCACATAACAAAATGGAATTCTGGCATAGCAAATGGGCAAACTCACCGGAGAATCCTTCGTAAATAATAGATGCGCGAACGTCTCTCGGAGTGATCGCCATCGCACCGACATCACCAGATTTAACCTCATCACATTTGTATTTCAAGTCTTTTCGAGAATCTAAGAGTTCGCTGTCGGATTCGGTGGTCCCAGTCCCACTAAACAAAAACGAAGTCCTCATGCTTTCGTTCGAAGTTCTGATAGTCTCATCAGAACCTTTACGAACATAGTTATGACTCGTTTCGGGCTCCATAGGAGAGTTCTTCAGGTCCCTATCTCCCGACAAAGCATAAAATCCAGGAAAGGTTAGGGCGTCCTGTGGTCTGTAGCCGCGACAACGACGACAAAAGAGTTCAGCAGCCCACCGAATCTGTGCACATGGAAACGTTCTACGCTCTACGTTTGGTATTGCTTTAGGCATCATCACACCCGCGTCATCACCTAATGCATTGCATGGTGAATGCTGCGTCGAAAGCACGTTGTCAAGGTGGTGATTATCAACATTCCTTTCATCCTGATCCGGAATGATACTGCAATCTTGTGAATAGACGCTTTTAAATAAACATCTAGGGCAATCAAAGTTGTAGTTAAACTTCACAACAGGCTCAGAAGATGGCAATTCCGCAGAGTTAGATGTAGTAGAGTTGAAATTAACCAACATGTTGTTCGTGTTTCCGTCCCCGAAGGCTGGTCGGAGCGCGCGCGAGGACGATGATGGCCCATGGAGGTTTCGTGAATATGGAACGACACTATTATTAAGGGGTTCATTTTTTTCAGGAAGCATTAACCGTGTGGATGAGGTGAATGAGGCAATTAGTGTCTTTAAAATATATTTTTCTGTCAATTTATATGTATATGCCTTTCTTAAATACGTATATCAATAGAACATAGGGAAAATGTGACGAGCAATCAAAAGCTGGTAAGCATATTAAGCGAAGAATTACAATAAAAAAATGGTGATGCCAACTTCACTTTCTTCCTATCCTATTTTTTTGACTATCAACACTCACCAACCCTGAGGAAACATTGCTTTAAAGCGCCTCACAAAAAACTTTTGCCGGGGCCCGCCAACGTCCGAGCCGTACTGCCCACGCGCTCGCCAAATATCCCTTGAGTGTGTGAGCGGCGTGGCGCCGATCTTGTGGAGGTAGTCCGGGTGGACGTGGTAGAAGGTCGACTTAAATTCCGTGACCTCCGTCGTCTTGAGGTGCGCCTTCCCGACGTTATTGCAGCGCGCGGTCTCCTCGGCGCGTTGGCGATCCCGAGACTCGGAGAAGAGCATCATCTCGCGGGTCACTTCATCACGGGAGTGGAACCAGTGCATGTTTTGGGCGTAGGTGGTGATGGCTGCAACGCGCTCCCAGCCCAGCAACAGGCGGTAATCCACCTCTTTGGGGGTTAAGGGGGGGTGAGGGGGGTCGCGGAAGGTGCCGCGGACCTCCGCCAGGACCAGCTCACGTCGCGAACGAAGAGGAAATCGCGACGCGCTTTTGATCAGTGCACGATACAGCCGCAGGTGCTCCTGCTGTTTGTACCCTCCGGCGGTAGAAAAGGCCATGGCCGTGTAATCGGCATTCACGTTGTGACGTTAGAAAGGGGGATCTATGGTCTGGAAAAAAATCATTACCTTCGGGGGTTTATCGCGTTCGTATGGCTTTTGAATGACTTCAATATTATAACCAAACATTGGGAATCAAGTGAATCGAAGGTCTGTCGTCATTGAGACGGTATCCATATGAACTCAATTAGGTTAAAGGTTTTTTTTTCTTTCAAACCGATATCGTTGTACATTATCAAAAATAAATAAATAAACGTACGGATAAAAGCACACATTTTTTGAAAACTAAATGTACACATATGTAGCTTTACTAATAGTATTGGTGCTATTTTGAACAAAGAGATTCATTCATAAATAAAAATTATTAATATTTAAACTAAGCTTAGCGGAAAACTTCTACTATTTACTATATAGAATTTTAGTGCACTCATTGAATAATTACAGGCTTCAAAAAAAATGAAAGTGTTTCGCAAAAAAAAAAAATGATCAGTTTAAGCATCTCACTGAGAAATTATTTTTTTGTATGAAAAGAATCAAAAAAAAATTAGAAAATACCTTAAAATATATGATTCGGCAAGGGACTCATATGTCGCACAATTTCGTTTTAGATTTTACGAAAAAATTGTTTTGAACATAACTTTTGTAAATGTACAATCTGAATATGCGCACAAGTTTACATCCTTCTGAACAAAGATCAAGTGTTTACATTAATTTAGACAATGAATAATTTAAAGAAAGGATAAGTAAAGCGAGGGAAAGGGAGAAGGAAAGAGAACAGGCAATAATGGCACTCGATTCTGCACCGTTCATCCGCTAGCTATGAAAACGTTCATAACACTGAAAAAAAATATATAAATAAAACAAACTAACATATTGTTTGCTTGATATTCCAGAAGCATCATTCAATTCACTAACATCCAATATTATTCAAGAAAAGCTTTAGCATGGTCTATCATTTCAATAAACTCTACTTGAAGATAGCACGATTATGAAAAAAAAGAACAATAACATTGAATCGAATTCCTGCATGACAATGAAAGTAAAAAATATTTAATAAAAAATAAAAAATTCGGATTTACATACAGCATCACCTCATCTTCATGTGGTAGAAGATCTTTTCCTAGGTGAATTTAGCATCACTTACCCTTTTTTTTGAGACGATGAGATTATTGAATACGACAAATCTTGGGGTTGATGCATTTAGCTCAATGCATTTAAGATGATAATATGAAAAAATATAGACATTTTTATTATTATTTGAAAAGAATGGACCTCATAGCTTGAGATTAGCTTCATGAACCTCTCCCGCGCTAGGCATATCGACTTCACTAAAAACGTACAGATTCGAGTTATTGCTTCGGGAATTTCGACTATTTTGGCTCGAGTGAAGACGCCTCTGGGATACTTGTTTTCGCGAAACAGTTAATCCCTTTGGATCCTTGACAGGTGGTGAAGTCTCCGATTTAGGCGTATCAGTCAGGGGTGTATCATGATCCTTCGAGTCATTTCTTTTAAGCTGTTCACCAGCATAGCAGTCCGCATTACCATATTGATTGACATCAGGTGCCTCGAATACCAAAGGATTTGAAAATTTGAGATCATCAGGGTTCACGGGTAGGTTGCTATTAATTGCATCCCAATGGTTAAGCGGAAACTGAATGTGCTCGACTTCCAATCCACTCTCGTCGTTTATGGTATATGGAAACCCTTGGTACTCGCGAATAACCATCGCATTAATTGGCTTTCCAAAAGACTTCTCTTTAGACGTGACCCAACAATATATCGTAATGATCACAAACAGAAGTAATAGAACTGTCATGAAAAGAATATAGATCAAAAACCAGTTCGCTTGAGCCCATGTTGGATCATCCCATCCTTTTACAAAGATAGGTTGTGGCGCTTTTGTAAAAATGGGTGGATCGACAGGATAAGACTGTACCTCACACACCATAAGAAAATTTTCCTTCGTGTTGGAACAGACGCTATCAGGTCTATAAGAGCAATCCGATCTGTAGAGTACACCATTGGAAGCATTATAACTATTTATCATATAAAATTCTCCATATGGATATGGAGCTGTACTGTTCCAATTGTATTGTGTATATGAATTTAGCGCAGCTTTATCAGGTTCCCTATCGAACCTGTATATGCCTTCCCAAAACGCGGTGCCCGGCTCACCCATGTAGCTGAAGCGATCGTAGAAACCATAAACCCAACGGAAAACACAATTTGAGCCATTATAGTGTCCCGCTTTCCTTGGATAGCAATTGTTAAACCAGGTATCCTTGGGGTATGCAGTGGAACCTGTATAAAAGCTTGTGCGAGTTATATTCCGGTAGTTCATAATATGAAGGGCGATAGCATTGGTGTAATGGAAGCTCGGATCGCTTGCAGGCACGCCACCGTGCTCGGCACATTGAGTCACAGCTTTATCAAAGCCAACGACGGCATCCCTGGTATACCCATACTCAAAGTCTAATATGAAGTAACCGTGCATTTGTAACATTAAAAGACCAGGGCCGACATTTGCAGCCTTTGCGATGTCCCCCAGGCAAACCAGCAGGAGGAGTGATGCCAACGTAGCGGTCAGGCAGCGTCCATGACGCAAAGAACGCATTCTCAGAGCGATCGGCGTTGGGCGTAGAAAAGCGATGTAGAAAACGCTCAGTGGTAAGTGTAAGACGTATGGTTTGGATTTCTTCCCACCTAACGAAGTTCTGTATAAACAGTTGGTTGTTTTTTAATTTGGTGTTTACGTACTTTGAAGAAGTTAAAAATGATAAATCGTGATTTTAGAAAAAATAAATAGAAAACTCATGGCTGCGTTCAAGCAGAACAAACAAGACGCAATTATAGGGAGACAACCTTATGGCAATCTTTGTTGGTAAAGTCGGTGTGCGGTTGCAAATTAATAATAATGGTACCTAGAAAAGTAGTGTATCCACATCCTGTTTTTACTACAAAGGCATGATGAAAACCGTAGGAAAAAATCTAAGTAGCAAACAAAACGTTAGAAAAAATACTACAACAACCATGTATCAATGGAATATCAAGTCACTAATGGCAATGCAAAAACACAGGTAGCTCTGAGAATGGTAGTCGTAAAAATATACATAGTGCCCTTACTCGCATAGTTAAAATGAAAACACTGGCGATGACATATAATTGCCAATCTAAAGACTCAGGCTATAAATATATACACATTCAACCCTTCCCCCCCCCCCACCCCCCACCCTACAATACGGCATGTGCTTATCAACTGCATGCTTCTGATTTGTTTATATTTTTTCTATCAGTGTTATTCCACCTTCGCTGACCAAGCCCATCGAACAGCAATCAAAATTCCCCTTAAGCATCCTAAGACATAAAAATGTAACCCAGGACCATGGCTCCAGGCTGGTGATGTACTTGCCTTAAAAGTTTGGTTGGGAAGAATAGAAAGGATGGTAAAACAGAAACCAGCGTTCACCAGTGCACCTGCCAGGTCCGGACAAGCGCTATATAAGTACTTGCCCGTGCGCCACGCACGTTGTGGGAACTTTCTAGAAGCAGCGCACATAAACTTATAGAATGATCTAGCTTTACGACGCCATCTACCTGGATCTGTGAAAAGGTCCATATATGTCACATTATTTTGACATAAAGTTTTATCCTGGGTACTAAGAAAGGGTGCTCCCCCAAAACGAAACCTTGGGATGTGCACCTGCACCTTTTTATATATCTTGTTGTTGCAGAGCAATTGGTACATACGCTCGCAGAAGGCCCTCCAATCAAGTTCCAAAAAGGAATGCATGATAATATCTGGGAGCGAGTAAAGTAACATACACACAAAGTATCCTTTGGGCGTGAGTCTCTTCCATATCTCGTCAGCTATGCGATATATAAAAAAAGCTCCACTGCTTTTCTCAAAGACAATCCGAGAGCGCAACCATAAGGCAGCTGCCGGCCGGCTAACCCATTTCACAAATAGTAAGAGCCTCCACATAGGTACCAACCACAATGGCAGACAGCAGCGTACCGTAGGGGAATCCGCTGACATCACGAAGACATACAAACTAAGAAGGCTATCTATCTCCAAGGCACGAGATGAGTTTAGGTCTTCGTTCTGTGGACTCTTCAAATAGGCAAAACTCGAAAACCCTGTAAAAATAGGGTCTCGTATCAATGATACTGCTAGGTTTCTGACTATACGAAGAATATTGAAAGGATGCAGCACCGTCACGGCGAACGTGAGGTCGCCAAGCGCTCCCCGAGGCACATATACACGATTGCTCCCAGTGTTGTAAAAACAAACAAAACGAGCCAAGGTACGGCTAATGCAGAAAACGGTAATATGAATAATTGCGTCCTGTGCCGCCATGCCGCACAACGAACGCACTGACTTTAACACAAAAAACGTACACGCTGTACTAGCGACGCTGTGTGCAAAGTCTTCGTCGGTAGCGCGTTGTTTGGCTAAAATGACCTGAGCAAGGGGCGTCAACAGTTGGCTATAGTCATCACATAATCGCAAGATAAGTTGCTTCCGACGGGAAGGATAATAATTACCAGTGGATAAGGTACCTTTCATCTGCACATCGCAAGAATGTAAATGTGAGCCACTCCAAATACTCAAATTTGTAGGTGAATAGGAAACCGAGACCGATGCAAACGCACTTTTAAAGAAAAAATCATCACTAAGGCTACCCCAGTAAGAACTTATATAGTTTCTCCTCCCATTATTAGCATTTGCCATGGTCGTGGATTGTAATGTATATTTAGTATGTGGCATCGTTGATCCATCGTAATTATTTTTCCCTTTTCGAGAATGTTTTGTCAAAATTGTATGTTCGTCAATACAACTATCTGATTGGTGCCCAACAATCCCATGGAAACTATAGAACCTGCGTTTTGCACTGTTGAAAGTGGACTCTGGTGGTAAAATAACCCCCCGGGCTTTCTCTTCCACATTTTTTTTACCATCTACAATCTCCGTATTAGTGCTGTCTCTATCGTTATTATGTGTAGATAACGGCGTACTATCAGTTCCTCGATCTTTGTTCAACTCGGATCCATATTGATTCGCATTTAAATAGTCAATCTGGATGTATTCGAACTTCGAAGCTAATTTAGTTAATGTGTCACGGCGTTTCCTGGCCATAAAATGGACCGTACTAAAGACAAAGGGAGCCGTTACTGCCACAAAAACACATACAGCTAGATATCGGTGAGTAGTAGATTGCAAAAGATTTTTAAGCAGCTGCAGATCGTTTTCAAACACTAAAGAGCTATATACATGACTTTGAAACGTTACCATTACTTTCTTTTTGTATTCCGAAATAGCGCGTGTTCGTGAAGGCTAGAGAAGCTTTGGTGGTAACGCTAAACAGACATAACTATATTAAAGAAATAGCTACTTTGAATTTGCTTTTATTAAAGTCAAACACACAAAAATCCAATCTACAACAGGATAATTAATATTTTCCGGTTTATTGAAGTTTGTCATTTGAAATAGTTGCATACTAAATATCTCACATGCATTTTGAAACTTTACACCCGAAAAATCGGTGTGCCGATGGACATTGGTATTCTTTCAAGTATAAAGTGCATGTTCTTAACGAAACGTCAGAGGTCCGTGTTTACCCCTCCAATATCTTTCCTTTCATCCTATCTCGTCGTCAGAACATCAACCCACAGCGACACCACACCCTTTAAATGGATTTCCCTCCATGCCAGTCAGTGAGCGCGATACGGCCCACTCATGAGGTCCCCAGCGGTGCCGACTACCCAACTCGAGCTTCATCAGCGCTTCTTAACGCGGCGCCCCTCTTTTGCATTGAGTGCAGTTTCTGGGAGTTAGTTCAACTGCAAATTTCTAGGCCTTCCCCAAAAGAGACATACATTGTTTGCCTTTGCCAGTAGAAAGGAAACGGGTTCGGCTAGCTTGCTTTGGAATCCACAGGTTGCACCTAATGCAAGTTTGTGTGTACTCGCCTGCAGCATTTAATCAAGCCCGGTCCCCTTCTAAATAGGATTTCCAAATCCTCAGAACTTTGAAAGAAAAAAGAGCACAGAATTCCTTCCTGTGCAAGTAAGAAGCCTTTTAGTTGATTGTTTTTTTCAAGAGAAGCAAATAATACTCCTTTGGTTTTAGATTAAAAGAAATGATGCCTCACGTTTGGCTACATGTAATGTCAACATATTGGAAACAGTTTGATAGCAAAGTACAATGCGTTGGGGACCATCATACTCTGTTTGCTGCTGCTTTCAGGAATCATGCTTCACACTTTGCATTAGAACTCTAACAACGCAAACAATATAATTTTTATGAGAACTCTTCGGGGTAATACCAAAAATGCTGAGCGCACAGCGTTTCACAGGCTTTTACCTAAGCCTTGCCATAGTAAGACCACACGATAATGGCTGCAATTTTTATACTTGTGAAGAAGAATAACTGTGTAGAGTTTGTAGATACCATTTGAGCTCACCTCTTGGTAAAGGTGATTTCATTATAAAAGTGCATGTTATTAATTTTGGCGTCGGTATGACTTCTCAAATATTTTGCCTTGTCAGACATGATTAAAAGATTGTGCATTGTTGAGTTCGAGTTTCTTCTCTGTTTCAAGTCATATCGAGATGCTTTCTGAAGGTACTAATCGTCATAGTGTCTCCGGTCGTATTACATGCTTCACAGTCAAGATCATAAATAACGTTATGTAGAACAGTTTTATTTGCACCCTGAAAAAATTCAAAAGCAATGCAGACAGAATAAAATGAAAAAAGGTACCAGAAATTACACTTTTCCAAGTTATAAATGCATTAAACAACATAATTACCTAGTTTTTTTTTTGCAGTTCATCTCGGATCTCTTTGATAATTTTCAAGACCCCCAAAAATCCGTAGAGGACGTAAAAATATATGTAAGATCCCTTCCATTGAACAATGGAATTGCTGCAAAAAAGGAATACAAGGAAAAATTAAAGACTTTTTACCGTGCTCTTGATAACCAAAATAAATACATCAGTCTTATTACTTTTCCCGTCAAAAATTAAAGATATTATTGCATTTACAAAAGTAGTTCAGTCTAGAATTGTAAAGATTCTTTACATCGATGCTATAGCCGGGCATAAGTCCATATACAAACTTGTGGAGATAATAAAAAGTATTTTCCCCTTTTCATAGGTCGGAAAATATTTCATTATGTGGATTGTGTCGAAGTAGCCACTCGGCTAAGTATTCAGTTGGATTCTCAGGGCGCTGCTCGCAAACCTTAACTAAACCTTTGCTGAGCAATGGCATCACCTGCTTCATTAGGAATTTTTGAAGGGGGTCCTTTCGTTCCTCAAGAGCTGCGCGATCCTTGGCTTGTATAGCAAGCAAATCACGATTTGCGTTTTCTCTGGCGTTAAACTCTTCTTCATAAGCCGCTTGTTCGTGATTGCGAATCTCTTGCTCCAGGTTCTTCTTTGCACAGATTCGTTCCTCTTCCAAGCGAACACGGCGAACCGTTTCCTGATGCACCTCCAGTGGTGTTTTACCAAAATAATGGGGGGGGCCCAACTTTTGCTGAGCCGCGAGTTCCAAGGCAGCAGGTGGGGGAAGTTCGTACTTAGATTTTGGAGCTGGCGGAGGAATCAGCGGCTCTTTTTGGACAGTCATCTGGTGAACTCGGATACGACGACCACCTGGAGTGATGCTTGTTGAAACCGAAATGGCGCACTCGAAATAGTTCAGCATACTGTGTGGTTGCCCATTGGATGACTTCAACGTCACCACACTGCCGCTTCGTCTTCGACTGGGAACACTTGAATCGTATATAGTACCAAATCGCTGTTTGAACATCTCAAGCTCTTCATTAAAAGCTTCAACTGTCTTTTTTTTATACTCACTTGTCACCATTGAGGAAGAAAGCGTGTTACTTTTCTTACTGTTGGGCGATAGTTCTATTCCGCCATCATTTGGAGAAAGCATAGCCGAATTTCCAGCGACTTGGTTGTCAGACGCGCATGACTCATTAAAGGTGTTCAGCGCTTTGATTCCAGACAAAGCATTCCAACGCTTAAGAAGATACTCATCGTCTGCGCAAAGTATCAAAACATCGTCCGGAAGACGACCCTCGTCCGAGAGCTCTTGATTCTGTGTGTTGTGTTGGCCATCGTCTGCCTCCCCATTCTCGTTCGCGAGGTCAGCCCCCATCACCTGTGAGGTGGGACGCGGGTTAAGGGCCTCTTCCTCAGTGGCAGGGGAAATAAGCGGTTCCCTGCTGAAGCTGTAGCGTGCCTGCTGGAGATTTTGCGGGAAGCCAACGAGAATATAGCCATGATTACGGCAGTCCGGCCAGGCCAGTCGCCACCTCAGCATTAAAGCAAGCCCTTGATCCTGAAAAGGGGCATCTTGTAGAGCATCCTTGGCTTGCTGCAGCTCCTCCTCCTCTTTTTTCCGTTGCTGCTCCTTTGCAAGTCGCTTTTTCGATAAGTTTGACTTGTTGGCCGCACGTTTGCTGCTGGAAGCGGCGTTCATGAGATCATCTGCCGTAAAGACAGTCGAAAGTCGCACCTTCATGAGCAAGATACGCTCCATCTCAGCAATTTTATTGCGCCATCGTTCCACCACAGGACTGTTCGCTATTTTTTCATCTATAACATGCTCGACTTCTTTCAGCTCCTCAGGCGAGAGGGTGCACGGCGGTGCAAGGTCGCTTTCGCCATCATTTTCGGCCGCACCGCTGGTGCCGTACGCGTATTCGGATTGCACGTCTTTTCCACCAACGGCGTTAACAAGCTGCTGTTTTCCATTTCTCTGTATCATATCCCTTCCTTCATTCTCTACCTCGTGGTTGTTTTCATCTCCTTCTGCTTGGTTTAGTTCTACCAGCATCGCTCTCTTTTTTCGAAGTCGTGACACGCGTCTAATGCGACTTGTCTTAATTGTTAGTCGACGTTCCTCTTCGTCATGGATAAGCTTTGTCCGGTAGTCCTCTAACTTTTTCTTACATTCGCGTAAATTTTCACGAAAGGCTTCCACGACGTCTTCAATACTAAATAGAGGTATCTTATAGTAGCGAGCGAGCATGCCAGCAAGGTAAGACTTACCGGAAAGCGGGGGCCCAAGGATCAGAACCCGTTTGGGGATTACGTTTCGTGCGACGCGGAACTCCAAAGAAATCTTTTCGATATTTCGCTTAAAGCCGCCCTCTGAAACCCACGTCCCTGTTTCCGTTGTCTCATCGTGCATAGCCTCATTCATGTACTGATCGTTTGCATCAAGATTGAGTTGTGTTCGTCCCTCTACGGAGAATGTATCTTCCTTCATCTCCATGATCGTCTTAATTGCCCCTCGTTCTAAACACAAATCAATCGTGAAGTGTTCAATATTGCTATATAAAGGATTGTCAGCCGTTTTTACCATCTGCAATGCACAAGCACCCCCAAATGCCTGATTAATAGATTTAATGATTGTGCTCCATGAGAGCTGCTTATCGCTGTCGGTAGCGAAGATGTATCGCTGAGGGGGTAGCATCTGGGATGGGCAACATAAGAGTTTTCGCGTGAAAGTGGCCAAATCCTTTACGTGAATCATCGGCACGCGCTGATCACCGATGCCGAAAATCGGCAGTGTGTGATTTTGATCCCCACTTTGATTCTCCATCGTCGCATTCCAGGATTGGCGAAAAAACGGCTCGAGGATATCCTCGCCTTCACCGTAAGCCAACCCAGCGAAGATGACAAAAGTATCCAGTGTAAGTCCATGGGCACGATGGGCCGACGCCACGGCTTTCTCGGCATCGCGCCAGTTAAAATATTTGATGTGCGGAATACGACGGTTGTACTGATCCTCGGTTAGTATTTCTTTCTTGTCGGCGATCTTGTCAAGTTCAATTCCTTCACCTTGATCTTCTTCCTCGTCATTATTTTCTTCGGTTTCATCTAGTAAAGAAGCACTGTCCCCCTCTGGGGGCGGTGGATAAGGCGCGTCTATTTCCACATCTTCATCATTGTCTTCTAGCTTATTGTCTGAATCGTCATTCGGTTCATCCTGTACGTGATCGGTTTCCACTTTCTGAGAAAACGATAATCCGTGGAGTGGGGGCGTCGCAAACCAACTCATAAAGTTAGAAAGCAGTACAAACCTTTTAGGTTTCTGGAAAAAAGAAGAGGTTCCATTTTTTTCTGAAGAACCTAAAGCTGGCGAAGATACCTGTGAATGTCCCTGTTGATTTTGGAAAGTTTGTAGAATGTCAAAAATGTCTTGGGCCTCTCGCTGCTCCACCACAATCCATTCACAGTCTCTGAGAGCTTTTTGCACCGATGCGCCGTCACGTCGCCAAAAAAATCTACAAGAAATCATAGAAGTAGAAGACACACCCTTTCCCGGCATTGAAGTTTCAAGCTGCTCTGTATCTGCTTTGCTTTTAATCCGATCAGAAGAGCGTCCTTTTACTTGATCACTACAGATGGATGCCATCTGACTTGTAGCCTGAAGGTCATATTGGTCAGAGATATTTGTAATATTATCCCTATCCCAAACACATCCATGGACTGAAAAGAGTGTTGGTTTGTGTTCAAATTGTTGAAGCAGATGCTTTCCAATGTAAGTATCTACATAAGCAAGAAATACGTTTATAGGCATAATTGGTCACAAGAGGATACCTTTTTCTACTTCTATTTGGGGGTTTTATTATACTAAATCTCTGAGCACTTCACTCATAAGACGAGTTTGGTTGTGTTTACCAAAGATCAGGATAAAGAAAGAAGAGCATTGACAAAATAAGTTTAAAAAGGCCAAGAAATATTGATGTAATGAGAAGTGCACTTTAATGCGTATGCATAATTGTATAAAAGTATATATTATTCTACCATTCTACTCCCTTTCACTGTTATAGACACTGAATATCTAGCGGAAAGATTCCGTGATCTTACCACAGGAACGTTAGAAAGGGATAACTAAACGAAGAAATTATTTACTTGCTTATAAATTTAAGCTCAAACGCTTTTTAAAATATTATAGGTTTCTCCAATAGATATAAATGTTTACAAAGAGTGTGTGACGAAGTTAGCTCTGTCGAAAGGAGATACTCAAGGAAAAAACGCATATTTTTAAGTTATCCTCATCACAGATAGTATTAAAAAAAAACGCCTTCCATTACGTATGCTCTTCCACTTTAAACTAGTTGTTCAACTGAATGAAACCACATCTTTTTTGATATACATTATAAATGGAGATTTCCTACCACACCTTTGCAATTGATTAACAAATATATATCTACACATTTTACCAGCTATTTAAGAAAGAAGTGTTAATCCTGAATCACAATATGTTCACTTGATATATTCATTTAACACTCTTTTTCTATCATTCTCAACTAATTTTCTAAAACATCATCGATTAGTTTTTTTACTAAGCGATATTTGTTTTTATTTTTACGGTCAAGTACCATAATATCAATTGCCCCTAAGTAGCCTTGCACTGTTCTTAGTTCACGTTTAGTCAGCTCAAATGCTTTGGCATGTCGTGAATCCTTGGAGGCCTGTTCCTTCATATTCTTTAAGCTATCGTCCCAGTTCACGTAAAAGTGATGTAACATACTTATACGCTGTAAAATAGCGCCTGGATCACCATTCAGTTCAAACGTCAACTGGAGACATAGACTGAGGAAAAGTGGGAGGGTGAGAGTGTTAGGCATCGTCAAGACCGACATGTTTTCTTGGCAAACATTACTTTCAAGAAACTTTAACAACGCATAGAGGTCACTAGACTCTAATAACATCGTGAGGGCTCCAGCCCAGTCACCGGTCTCTGCCTGTGAAACGGCGCAGGTGACGAGCGTGTCGGAGTCCATTGGCGCCGGCTTTGCTGAACTATGCAGCGTCGCCAAGGAGGTCTTGACCTCCGCGAGTTCATGTTTGAGCTCAGCTAGGCCTTTCTTGATGGACGCAGCAAAGCTTCGTGCCTGCTGGACTACCGATAGCGTCTCCTTGGACGAGGCATCAAGTATGGTCTTCATCGGCGTATGGAGCCCGCGCAGCGTGGCCAACATCTGCCGTGAGGAAGCCTCGACATCGGCGCGAAATTGTTTAGCCGCAGCGGTGGACGAAATGTTTGAGGCCGACATTCCGGTCGCATCCAAGTGATCCTGATGGAGCAACACCTTCTCAACAGAGTTTTTGAGATGCTTATGCAGCAACGCCTTGAGGGCTGCCGAAGTCGCAGCAGCGCTACCTCCCTCAATTTCATTTACGAAGTTAGTAATGCTCTGGAGTAGCTCCTGTTGCTGTTCAGACATCATGCAAGGCTCCAGACGTTGATCGGGGACACCTGGGACACGACTGGAGGGGGTCCACTGCAGACGACCCTGATTTCGTGTGGCAAATTGACGCCCTATAGACTGCGCCTCCTCCCGAAAGCGGGAATCCTGAAACATACGAAGGTTATCCGAAGCACTTTTCTGTGCGTTGGCAAGGTCAGAATCGAACTGGAGAAGTTGCTCGCAAATTTTCACCGCTTGTTGCCGTACCACCTTTCCTGCACTTGTTTCAGAAATGGTGTTTGCGATTTTATTGTCACCTAAAAGCGATGACGAAACCGCTGTAAGCTGTGTATTGTTTCCAGCTCGGTTGCTCATTTCGGTAAATTTATCAGTCGTATCTGTAGAGGATAACTTTCCAAACCAGTTAGAAATCGAATCAACCGCAGAAGTTTTATCATTGATGGAAGAAGTTGTGTTCGATGCTCCCATAAGCTTGTTGCTGTCTAGCATCGCTTGGAAAAATCCCTCTTGGGTGCGAAAGGTAACGAATAGTTCGTAGCTAACGGACTTACTTTGCGCGCTCTCCGCAACCTTTCCGATACTTGTGGCGCAGCACAGCGCAGGGCCCTGCGTCTTCCAAGTAGTCATACGGTGCACTTTAAATAGAGTGCGGTGTAATTCAATAACGACGGCAAAGGCATGTTGCTGTGAGGTGAGGATAATGTATTCTTCGCTTGGCGTAATACTGATTTCGAATTCTCCTGCAGGAGGTGTCGATTTGTTGTCTTCGTCGACAACAGTAATCTCCTGCTTAAGGTTGAATCGCTGAGTCTCAGTGTTGAAGAACCAAAACCTCAACTCCGAGTTGTTGCGCGCAGCAGTCACCATATAAACAGACCCACTATCCTTTTCCTCTTCGAACATGTGAACATGAAAAAAGCGCGCAAATATTGGAACGGCGTCTGTGTGGGGCTCCCACGCTTTGCTAAGGACGCTCTTGTGGGTCTGCAAGGAAATAAGATCTAAGTGTGTATTCTTGGCAGGAAGAACAACCAGATTGGCCTTGTGGTGATAGTCAAAAGCGGGGTACTTTACTACCGTCTTGGGTGTTAGGTTTATAGTTTTCAACACTTCCCCTGTAGTCTCATTGGCTTCAAAGAGATGGTTTTGTCCGAGTACAAACACCTTTCCGATATCACCTGCTGTAGCAGCATATAATTCTTCTCCATACGAGGATTCCTTCACAGAAACCGATAACTCACCAGTCGCAAGGATTTGAGGTGATAAAATAGCAAGTTCTTCTCCACCAACCGCAAAAAATAGCAAAGGGTGTGTGGGATGAGATTCTGTGGAACTGAGGTGGCGAATTGATTCCGCCTTTAACATGGTGTCGGTGTATTTTCCCTGACGACTGAGGAGACGGATCGCGTTGGGCTGCTTCACATTCATGCACAAGAGCTTACGACATTCTGTAACAACCGGTCGAATATATTTGGAATACTGAGTTGCTGATGTTTTACTCAAAGGGTAAAGTGATTTACATAGGACAGCTTCTGATTCCCCCGTACAGTAAGTCAGAGTATCCATGGTAATGAATAAATTAAAAAGACCTTTAAATGGTATATAATTTCTAATAAAACTGAATAATTTCAAATGTAAAAAACTACAAATTCAGTGATGCAACTTAACGAAATTAAAGCAAAAAAAAATGAGCAAATTAATCAGCATCAAAGGGTAAAGATTTTGAAAGCTAATTGTACTGCCAAATTATCTTTTAGGTATCACATGGAATCTTATAGGGTAATCCACATGTTAGTATTTCTAGTCTTTTTAAAATAAGCAACTTGATTTAGTTTTTACACGCATAAGTATATTTTAAATTTCTAACACCATTAAACATGACTTCAATCCACCATTACGTTTCCAACTTTCAAATGCCATAATCTCTCACCTGATTTAAATTCAGAAACCTCAGATATTACGCGCTGTACAATTTGTACAGGAATACCCTGCTGTTCAGGCTGTGAGTTATCAAGAGATGTGCTTTCCCCGTATTCTTTTTTTATTTCATTAAGTTTACTAAGAACAGCTCGAGTTTCAAATATTTTTAGCTCTAATAATACTGCGATGATGAGTGGGCGGTGTCGATCGACAGAAGGTTCACCTAATGTCTTCAAGACCCATGTTGAAGAGGTGAAAGTCTGCACTTGGGATTGTAATGCGGCACCGAGCATTTGATTTGTGGTGGTAGGGTAATGAGATTCTCTCGCTTTCAGCACCAACTCTTTCACACGTAGTTTGTTTATTACACCATGTTCTGCAAAAAGAATTCGTATGTATCGCTGAATTGGTACAAGATCCTGTTCGGTAAACGCTTCCGTTGCGTTTTTGTTGTCAACTGAGGTGGCACTATTTGATATCGCACTATTATAAGCCACACCCCTGTTCATGTTGTTGGCATTATTATTAATGTCAAACCGGTTTATGAGAAGTAAAGATGGAGGTGATTGCCCTAAATTAATATATGTGAGATGATTGAGAATTTGCGAAGTTCGGTTGGCCCACAAATCGCGTTGGCTAAATATTTCGCATTGAAAACGAGCTTCAATGGAACTTATTCTCTTTGAATATTCAGTACGATCTTCAGGAACATAGCGCAGCCTCCAACGTCGTTTCTCTGGATCAGGCTCTGCGGAGTTTAGTATTGCAATTTTTTCGAGAATTTCCTTTATAGAACGACGCAGGCTAGATGTGTTTACCAAGTCGTTTAACTGCGATCGCCTAAGAGAACCGTCAGATGACCGTTGAAATTGTAAAAGTATAACTTCTCTTAAAGCAGCAATAGATCCCTTGAAACATTCTGAAAAACAACAAACCCATACTCCATGCATGTACACCGCGGTTGACTTCAAGGAGTCTATGATAGTGACTTCAGGTACGCGGTTGTCAAGACTTGTTGAATTTGGCTCTGACAAATTCTCTCTAAGAATTTCAAGTGTTAGAACCTGACATCTTTTTAACAAGCTACTAACCTGCTCAAAAATGGTATAAGAGGCTATGAAACGTCGAATAATTGATGGTGAAGCATTCTCACCTTCGTAGATGCCACCAGAAGCACAAAGCTCAGGAGAATAAAAGCTATCTTCAATCCTTGCTTCCTTACCCTTTAAAATAGACATACTTGAAGCCCTTTCTTTTGTAGAGCAAATAAGTTTTCGTTTGATGTCATTATTTTCTGCAGACCTCGAAAAGTGAAACTTGAGCTCCACTGCAGTATCGGCGTCAGAATTAATCATAACACTTCGTTGGCGCATAAGTTCTTTTTGTAATCGAATAGATGCAAAAAGTCCTGAAACAGCAGCTGTTGTTTGTGTACTACAATGCTCTTGGCTTATGCGAACGGGCCCTCCGCATGATTTTGAAGTACTATCACCATCATTTGATTTAGATTCAAGAGCAGGTAAAAAATGCTGAATAGAAGAAACAGGTGACAAGTGAAGGCCACCATCGTAGAAGTAGCCAATTAGATAGTCTGAGTGAAAATAAAATGGTTTAGATTGTAAGGTAAAGGAATAGGTGTGAGCATTATCAGAGATACTTTTTCTATTTTCGTCAACCCTATCTTGCCTGAATGATGTTGTGTTGAAAGTATCAAGTGTGCATTGCATTGTGAGGCGTGAATTAGGATTTATTACAGCTTTGCTTCCACTCCTTGAATTTGACGAAGAGACGCTGGAGTCAATGCCATTAGTAGAAAAAAGTTTTATATCGTTAGCTTCATAAGGTCGACTCCTTTGCCTAAGAGGATATTGAAAAATATGTGTTTGATGCAAAAGAGATGGTGTAAAATATACACTGAAAGACGCTAGTACTTCTTCATCCTCACTTTTCTTTGAACGACAGCCAAAATGCATAAGTTATGCTTAAATATATTTATTGTGCCTGAAAGACGATAAAATAAAAACTACTTAGAAGTGGAAATAATAATACAGTTACTTACCTCTAATAAATTTTCTTTTGAAAAAACTTCTGGTTTTAGGTTATTTATAAATACCTTGAGCTTTTAATCTATCATCTGCGATATTTTGAAGAAAAAAAAGAATATCCATTTAAGAAAAAGTAGCATTAGACAGTTAAAGTAGAAAATTAATTAAGACATTTTTTAATCACGATTTTTATCATATTAATAGATCATTACTTATGGAATATCAATTTAAAGTATATAAGATGTGGTTATATGATTCTGGGTTCGTAAATTAATGTCAGAAACTAGCAAATAATCATTAATAATCACATGGGGAAAAAAAGTAAACATGTACATATGCCTTTCGTTAACAACAATTACAAAAATGTTTAAAAATATATAATGTGGATTAAATATAAGATGATTTGTGGTTAAATAATAAAATGTAACGCACACATCAGAATGTGAGGAGTAAGTTTGAAGAAGATTAAAGTGATAAAAAAATCTTATGATAAGACTATTTTTAGCAGTACAACCATTTAGAGTGTATACTCTCATGGAAGTGCTAGAATAAAATGTTCATAATATAGTAAAATTATTACTTATATTATTTATAATATGAAATGAAAAATTCTTAAATGCAAGTTGGTCACATTAAACCTAAAATTATATTAGTATTTAGTTCAATCACATTATTTTTTTTTATGTAATTGTTTTTATTCGTTCAGAGTTTAATTAGAATTACTAGCTTTTTTTTTCTAGAGGATACTGCCACACAAATAACAATCAATTAAATATTGGTTTAAAAGTTTAAATCAGAATGTCCAGAAGTACTAGTTATTATAATGATACAATGTTAGTATTTGTAGAGGAAGTTTGGTGTGTAATTGAGCTCTAATTATCGCGAACGAACTGACAATGAAGATTATATTTTTCATGTGTCATCCAGAAACTTTCCCCCTGATGAAGATCACTATATGACAGCCATCATTTCTATAAGATTTATTCATTCTTTTCATAACACATATCAATATTGAACTTGTGAATAAGTACATAGAAACAAAAGATATTAACGAGGTCATACCCTAACTTTTGAACAGCGTGACACACATATTCTCATAATTAACATCCCTTCTATAGAATTCGCTTCAAGCCATTTTTGTTGTTTCTTTTTCTTTATCCTTAACATGTTTAAAAATTATTACCCTTTGTAAACAAAGGCTTAGGAAAGGAAACAACTAAACAAACTGTGTGTGTGGATAAAGGTCCCTGTAGGTAAAGATAACTCACAATTTATTCGCCCTCGGGTTCCTCCAAAGGGTCATGCCTCTGACACTACGCAACAAATAACCTTTATTGCCAACTCACCTACAAGAATTAATCTTTCACCTTGGTTACCCTGAGTTTGCGACAAGAGATAAAAAGTATTTAAGTTAATACGGGGTTCCTACGCGTAACGCTAAACTTTTGGGCCCACCTTGCGCGTTTCTTAGGTTAGTAGCGGTGCCCCCCCTCCCCATCCATTAACTTAAACATGTTAACCAAAATATTTTCAAAAAAAAATACTCATATAGACATGTCAGGTTGTTTTCTTAATCATAGCCCCTTGCGAAAAAAATATTTATTTCATTTTATGCTGACGTTTTTTTCGATTTGAGACATTCACTAAGTTTTATGATTGCGGGGGCCGGTAAACTTTGCCAAATGCATTACTAGAATTTTAAAAAGCTGCCGCCATCATTTATAGCTTGCTTTCGTGTATAAATAAATTTTACTTTTTCTCACCACAATAGTAGTTTTTACGGGGTCTCCACTGCACGTGTAACTTTTATTACCTTCGTTCAGGGGTTTTTAGAAGACTTTAATTTGAAGATTAAAAAAAGAATGCTGATTAGCTCTAGGTTACATATTGCAGTATTTTAAAATTATATTTTGATCTTAAAATATTGCTAATCGCAGATCTTATTTATTTTGGTTAAACTTGGCTGTAAATTCAAAATCATGTGGCTTATTCTAATTAATCGTTTTTTTTAAAGCACTTATCATAAAAATAACTCCACTTCACCATATTGTTGAAATCAGATTCCGACTACGAAACCGAATAGAATTTTCATCCACTCCCCCCCCTCCTATAGGATTTAATAACCCCATTCCTTTTGGTCAGGCGTTACTTTTTAGTCAGATCGTGGTTCCTTTGTCTGATTAAAAAAGAGCTATTTATAAAGCCATTAATTAAATTAGGCTTTTCAAAAAAAAAAAACGCTTGTCCTTTTTTTTTACATTTTTTCAATTGGATTATATGACACTTTTCTAATAAAATATCATGTTTTTATGTATACTTTCAAACCAAATTCAGACATTTTTTCGATGGATAAATATTTTCGACGAGAAAAACATGCTACACTAATGTTTCACTAAATATTTTAATACCGTGGTACCATATTAATTTTGCTTACAAATAGATATTTACTAAATTTCGGGATTATTAAATTATAACATTTTATATATTATATTTGAGTATTATGCATATTTATTTAAAATTTCATTTTACCGAACGAATGCCTTTCTTTGTAAGGTTTATTTGTGTTGCCTAACGTTCTACAGAAAAAGAAAGGACAATATTATTTACTCTATAGTGTAAATATTTATAATCGACAAAAAAAAGATATTAAAATTTTTAACCTTAATACTGAATGATATTAGTCTTCTATTTCACTTTTATTTACGTTCATTTACTATTTAAAATTCAGTTCTTTATATGCTTTCGTATTTTTTGTTCTTGTTTTAAAAGTCATTATTTGTCTTATTATTTCTTAAATTTAGATAAGTTTCATAAAACACATTTTCTTCACAAAGAAATTTTATATCTCCATTAGCGTTTTTTCTACTATACAAAGCTTTTGATTCGCTTTGTAAGGTGATTCCCTTGAATTTTTTATTTATTTCAAAGAAAACAAACCTATACCGAAAAATTGATGAACTCCATGACTATTGGATTTATTGGGTGTGGAAACCTGGGAGAAAGTATATTGTCTGGCATTTTGAATATCAAGTTTGCAACTCCTGATAGAATTTTCATTTGCAACAGGACTGAGGCTAGTAATAATAATATTTGCAAAAAATATCAGGTTAGATATGCAAATGCTGTTGATCTTATAAAAACATGTGATATTATCTTGATAGGCGTTAAACCAAACGACGTAGGTGGTATTCTTAAAGTTATTTCTAAAGAGGTTACTAAAGACAAGATAATTGTTTCTTTGGCTGCGGGGATAAAAATCGAATTTATCGAAAATCGATTACCACTTTTTTCCAAGGTTATACGAGCAATGCCAAATGTTTCCTCATCTGTTTGTTGCGGCTCAACGTGTGTTGTACCTAATAAAGTAGCCACAGACAATGATACATCATTAGTTGTCCAGCTTTTTAATTCAGTGGGTAAAACTATAGTACTGCCTGAGTCATATATTCATTCATTCATTGCACTTTGTGGCTCATCGCCAGCATTCGTTTTCATGTTTATTGAAGCACTTAGTGATGGAGCTGTTCGATTGGGATTTCCACGCCAATCATCGTATGAAATGGCGTGTCAAACCCTAATGGGTGCGGCAAAAATGCTACAGGAAAGTGGTAAGGTTCCAGCTCAACTTAAGGATAAAGTATGTTCCCCTGGAGGAACTACTATTGAAGGTTTGAGTACCCTTGAGAGAGGTGCCTTTAGATCTTTGGTTATTGAAGCGATGAATGATTGTGCAGCTAAATCGAAAATGATGGAAGATCAGAATATATAAAGAATAATTTTCCTTTACTTAATTTTAAGCTTGTAATATTTACTTAATGCTGCTATTATTTTTTTATTCTATTTTATCTTCACAGTGAATAAAGTACGATATGCGATATTTTGATTCAAACATTTTAGACGAACATTAATATCATTCAAATTATATATATATATATATATATATGATTACTAGATCGAATATTTTTACTTCTAATTTTTTTTGCTTCTCTTTATTTATGTTACAATATTCACTTATATATATATACTTTCAAACCAAATTCAGACATTTTTTCGATGGATAAATATTTTCGACGAGAAAAACATGCTACACTAATGTTTCACTAAATATTTTAATACCGTGGTACCATATTAATTTTGCTTACAAATAGATATTTACTAAATTTCGGGATTATTAAATTATAACATTTTATATATTATATTTGAGTATTATGCATATTTATTTAAAATTTCATTTTACCGAACGAATGCCTTTCTTTGTAAGGTTTATTTGTGTTGCCTAACGTTCTACAGAAAAAGAAAGGACAATATTATTTACTCTATAGTGTAAATATTTATAATCGACAAAAAAAAGATATTAAAATTTTTAACCTTAATACTGAATGATATTAGTCTTCTATTTTATTAAAATATTAACATAAGAAACGTTTGTTTATATTTTGATATATATAATTATGAAGTTTGAGATTTTTACTTCTAATTATTTCAAATTTCTTGTCTTTAATTTTCTTTTTTTTATAGTCTTAATTTTCAAAATGGTCAACTTCCCGAAGAAAAAGGTTCTGCACTGCCCTGACAAGCGTTGCAATACGCACAAAACCTTCAAAGTGGTCCAGTACAAGGCCGGCAAGGCTCGCCTGTACGCTCGTGGTAAGCGTCGTTACGATCGCAAGCAGTCTGGTTACGGTGGTCAGACAAAACCTATTTTTCACAAAAAGGCCAAGACCACGAAAAAGATTGTCCTGAAGCTTCAGTGCTCCAGTTGCAAATCTATCATCCAGAGTGTCCTCAAACGTACCAAGCACTTTGAGTTGAATGACAAGAAGAAGACTGGCAACAAGGACCCCACCTGGTAAAGAAGTTATGTCTTATATTTGATTGAGATAGTGATTTTTATTTATTAATATTAAATATATATATTAAGGTTTACATCTATAGTTATTTTGATTATTTCTCCATTTCTATTCCTTCTGATGCTTTCTTAAGTTGCCTTTTCTTGAATTCCTTTTTATTTCTCATTTTCTAGTTATATATATTTATTTTTAATAGCAACGACATAACCACCACACATTTTCTATCGCTTATCATGAATTCAAATCTTGCGTACATCAACCCTGGTGGTACTCAAGCGCGAAAAATCAATGCACTGGATATAAATATGATAGCTGCGCGGGGACTCCAGGATGTATTAAAAACAAATTTGGGCCCACGTGGGACGATGAAGATGCTTGTTTCAGGTGCTGGGCTCATTAAGATTACAAAAGATGGAAACACACTACTTGGAGAGATGCAGATTCAACACCCAACGGCTTCACTTATTGCCCGTGCGGCGACCGCAATAGACGATATTACGGGAGATGGTACCACAAGTACGGTGTTGGTGATTGGTGAGATGATGCGTCAATGTGAGCGCTATATTAATGAGGGTATCCATCCTCGAATATTAACAGAGGGGTTGCATCTTGCCTATAATGAGGCTCTCAAATTTTTGCAACTTAATACTATTAGTATTCCAAAAAAAGAAAACCGTGAATACTTAACTAATGTTGCTCGCACTGCGCTCAGTACCAAAGTGAATCCTTCGCTTTCCGAAATAATTTCTGAAGCCGTTGTTGATTCAGTTTACGCGGTGGCGGACAAGGAAAACGGGGTTGATCTTCATATGGTAGAAGTGATGCACATGAAGCACCGGCTCAGTTCCGATACTCGATTTGTAAATGGGATTGTTTTGGACCATGGCGGCCGAAACCCTGATATGCCGAAATATTTGGAAAACGCATATATTCTAACGTGTAATGTGTCCCTTGAGTATGAGCGATCGGAACTCTCAACAGGATTCTACTACAAGAATCCTACCGAGAAAGCACGCATGGTGGAAGCCGAGCGCAAAATGACCGATGATCGAACCAGGCAAATTATTCAGTTGAAGAATGAAATTTGTACAAAGGATAATGGTCGCACCTTTGTGGTTATTAACCAAAAAGGAATTGATCCGATCGCTTTGGAGATGTTTGCCAAGGAAGGGATTTTGGCCCTGCGACGTGCTAAACGCCGTAATATGGAACGTTTGGTTCTTGCTTGTGGTGGTGAGGCTGTTAATACGACGGACAACTTGACTCCCGAGGTTTTAGGAGAAGCTGGTCTTATTCAAGTTCACACACTCGGCGATGATACGTACACGTTCGTGGAAAATTCGAAGAAGGGTAAGAGCTGTACGCTGTTGGTAAAGGGTCCGAATGATCACACCATCGCTCAAATTAAGGATGCCGTTCGGGATGGTCTCCGTGCAGTCAAGAATGCATATGAGTCCTCTGCTGTTATTGCGGGAGCTGGGGCTTTTGAAGTTGCTTTGCACGGACACTTGTGCAATTTTGCAAAGTCCGTGAGTGGTAAGCATAAAATGGGCATAGCGGCATACGCGGATGCTCTACTTGTTATTCCAAAGGTACTTGCAGAGAACTCAGGCTTGGATGTGCAGGAATGCCTCATTACATTTCAAGAAAAAAGCAGCATCGCAAGAAAAGAGGGCAAATGGGCTGGACTCTGCTTAGATACCGGAGACGTCCAGGATCCAATTGCGACTGGTGTTTTGGATAGCGTTATTGTAAAACGGAACTTACTAGAATCAAGTGGTGAAATCGTTGCTCAGCTCATTCTTGTCGATGAAATTATGAAAGCAGGCCGTCGCGGCGCTGGAGGTCCACCGCAAGCATAACGTCTCTTTTACTCCATTTAGATGTAGGAGTGAGTATGCATATATATATATATGTTTATATATGCACCGTATTGTGACTAACACCATTATTATTTGACTAAGACTGAAGAGGGTTGAAAAGATGAAATTTTCACAAAATTATTACTATTGTAGCGTGGTGGTAAAAAGGAAAGTAATCTATTTTCCATAGCGTCACAAATTTTTTTCAACGTAAACTGTGGCTTTTAATTAAGAAGCTAAATATCTTAAAAAGGGAAATTGAGGAAAAATAATTAATAGCTTCATTGATAGAAACCTGTTTTTTTTCTTCATGTGATAAGAAAGGATCCAAAGCTAATAGTAACATTTCAATGATTGCTATTCCAATTAAAAAGGTGAAGAAAAAATGATATTTTGGATGTATACTTTTCGTTATAACTTCTTCACTTTTTTAAAAATCCCAAGTGTTTAGTCTTTATTTTTCCTTTTAAGTATTTCTTTGTCCTTCTATAGCCAAGTTGTCATTATCTTTTTTTATATTTGATACAGTTTAATACTTTGTTCAGTTTCAACGAAACACCTTTGGTGTATAGGATACTATTTCCATCATCACGATTTCATAAAGGAAAAAAAGGATGGCCAAAGGCGACAAGGAGGAGGCTCCCACAGATAAACGAGTGATTTGGCTCGAGCAGCGCATCAATACAGCGCTTAGACTAAAGGCAATCGACTCTAAAAAGTTCTTAGATAATGAGGAAAACCGCGCACAAATTAATGAGTTCCTTGACGTTTCAGACGCACAGCACCTTTATGTATATCAAGTAACCGGCGGCACCCTCATCGCAAGGAATGATGCTCCTGAAGAAATTAAAAAAAAGGGCATGTATTTTAGTAAAATGAAGCGTGAAAAAATAACGGATGACAACCATATGAAGGACGTCATCACGTTTGGGGATCTAACACCAGATACCATTAGCTCCATTAACACATTCACATGTGACGTCTATGCTTCCATCTTGAAAGCCGACAAACGCAACATGAGCACCATTCCAGACGTTGCGGTTGATGAGCTCATGAGTGATACTAATGATCTTATAGGTAAACTTCTCGTGACCCTTGGCCTTTCACAAGGCAAGACATTGCTGCCCGTACCGGACGTGGAGTTGTCTGAATGTATTGACGGCACACCAATCGACAGGGAGTTGCTGTATACGCTTGAAAATTCAATCGTGGCGTGGTCTTCGCAAATCAAGGAAGCTATTTCTTCTTCCCCAGAAGAGTTGGAGGCGGCAGCCACACGTACCGGTCATTATCCTTCTCCTGTGGATGAAATTACGTTTTGGAAGAACAAGTCTGAAAATCTCACGAATCTTGAGGATCAGCTGTATTCAGTGAAGCCACTCAAAATTCTTGTTATACTGAAGCGAGAGAACAGTACCTATTATGCATCATTTATCCAGCTCATGAGCTTGCTCAAAGAGGCTTCATATGAGACCTGTGATAACTATCGTTATTTGAAGGCATTAATTCCGGACTTTGAGAAGATCTGCATGCAGAGTCGCAGCACTATACCGTTTGTGGAGCTTACCAGCAGTGGTATTTTCAAGCGTCTTTTTCACTTTTTATATATCCTCTGGACACAATCGGGCTTTTATAACACCACCTCTCGCCTTGTCTTTTTAATACGCGGGATGGGCAACGCGCTCATTGAGATGGCCATGGACTATATCAATGTCGCTGAACTTGCAGGTGGCTTCGAAAAGAGGGAGGTAATTGAGCGGCTGAGCACGACCTTGGCGATCTGTGGCGAGTTCAAATCATGCTACTTCCAGTATAAGTCCTATGTCTCTTCGGTGTCTCGTCCGTGGAAGTTTCAGAATGCCGCGTTATTTTCCCGCTTGGACGTCTTCCTAGAGCGGTGTCATGATCTTTTGGATACCATTGAAACTGCGCTCTTGTTTGATAAAATGGAGAATATGAAAATCGGCGGGACGCGCGGTCCGCAGCTCACATTAGAGGTTGAAGACATCAAAGTAAAATTTACCACTGCGCTTGGCAACTTCTTCAGCGTTGAGTATGACCTTTTGGATATCACCAACACATCCTTTGACAGCGACTACGACATTCTGAAGCGCACGATTCATGATCTTGAGGAACATCTTGGTACCATTCTTATGACAACCATTGAAGAATCTAAGGCGATTTCCGAGGTTTTTAAGGCCGTGGACACATTTGACGGTTTCATTGACCGACCTCTTATTCAGCAAGAGTGGGTGAAGAAGCAGGTGGTGGTGCTCAAGAGCTTCTATCAGGACCTCCTGGCAGTGCAGGATACCTTCTACCGGAGCGATGACGCCGGGGTGTACCGCAATATGCCGCCAGTGGCCTCAGCGGTCGTACGTAGTAAGGCATTGCTGGATCGCATCAGCGAAGGCTATAATCGCGTGATCGAGTTCTCGAAGTCCATCGTGGAGAGTGAGGAAGGCAAGGAGGCCATGTCATTGTACGTGAAGATACGAGCCATGCTCCAAAACAACATCAGTGAGAAGAGTGAGCAGTGGGCTTCTGAGGTCGGCACCATCAGTAGCCAAAAGCTACATCTCCCTCTGTTATCCATGGACAGCGGCAATAAGCTCAAGGTTAATTTCGACCCGATTCTTGTCAAGACATTGCGAGAGGTTTATTATCTCGAAGTTATGAACTCTTACAACGCCACTGGCGTGCAAATGTTTGAGGTGCCGAATGAGATTCAGTCGATCTTCGCCAAGCGTGGTACATTCCGTGCGCAGGTTCTCAAGCTAGAGTATGTTTGCACTACTTTTAACGACCTCAACACTAGCCTACGCGACAATGATGAACGCCCACTTATCCAGGATGAACTAGACACCTTCGAAGCGTACATTAAGCGTGCCATCAATGATGTACGTTGGGAGGATGAAGCGACTGCGAACGAATACATCGAAAAGGCTGTTAAAGAGGTGGGCGCAATTGACAAACTTGTTTCGACCTTGCACTCAAATGTCAACACTATAAAGGACTTAATAATGGAATACAGGAAAGCTGACACCTTGTTTCCGCTCAACCCGAGCCGAGGCGACACCACCATGACCGAACTCGAGCTCCGAAAGGTCCTTGAGGAGCAGATTCATACATACTCCAAAGACCTCAAGGCTCGCGGGGAAAGGATTCACCTACTAATACAAAACAGCCTTGACACTCTAAATGAGCTGAAGGCAGCATCAGGGAGAAATCACGTAAGCGCCGACAACCAAAAATGGGAAACTTACCTCGAATATGTCAACTCTGAGTTAAAAGAGTCGTTGTGCTCTACCGTCCTTGAGTCGCTCGAAAAAATCAAAAAGCAGATTAATCCAGAATGGCTTATTGAGCAAGATGGAATTCCTCTTGTAGATATCAAACTATGTTTGTCAAGGAGCACTCCTGAACGACCGGTAGTTGAATCGAGGTTTGAGCCAGCGCTGGTTTCGAGCTCTGAGGGTTCCCGATCGATTCAGACACTATTCGAGAACTTTATTCATGGGATTGAGGAGGCGGCCGGTTTGATTAAATCCATTTACGGTCCGACCCCGTACAACGAAGAAGTACACGGAAATGGGGAAGTGCAAATCGCTCTTTCCGAAATTATGTCATTACTTGGGGAGAACAACCAAGCATGCGAAGAGTATCGTTGTTTGTACGACGAATTTAAACATTTGTGGAGTACCAACCGAAAAGAAGCTTTCGATTTATTTATTAACAAGGACGCCGCGAAGTGTCGTCGTTCGAGCTTGTCTGTTGATGAAACTAGCCTTATGAATGTTCAAGGCCCTAAAGAGTACTTTGAAGTGAGCCTACAAGAATTTGACAAGGCCATAACCGAGTACGGTCGCATTCGTAATCGTCTTGCTTCGATTGAAGATCGTCACCGTGTTGGGTTTGTTTCCATTGATGTGAAGCCTCTCCGTATAGCGCTGCGCGACATCTGCAAAAAGTGGAGGGACATGTTCTCTGACTACCTCATGGAAAAGATCAAGAATGACCTCCAGGAGTTGTTCACATTCATGAAGGAGGCTGATAACGGTTTAGACGTTGAGGTGTTAGATGGCGATGTGGATTCCCTCAAGTCGGTCATGCGCTGGATTCGAGGCTGTCGTAAGCGTAACTTAGAAGTCATGGGTGAGGATGAAACTGGCGAAACAAGCGGGATGTTTCCGCCGATTCAGGCTGCTATTCGCATGCTAAAGATTCATGCGAGCGCTTCTCCAGACGCAGAAGTTGAGCTAGCCAAGATTGAGAAGCTTGAGGAGATGCGTAAGCCTGCGCCCGAACTATGGTTTGCGCTTAATAAAAAGGCTCTAAACGCACGTGCCCAAAACTCTATTGTGCAAGACCGCGAGGCAGAGAAGATTAAGGAAAGCGTGATCCTTTTTGAAAACAAACTCAAGAATGAGGTTGAGGTTTTCCATCAAAATACCCTTTTCACATACACAATTGCGATGGATTCTGTCTATGACGAAATTGATCACGTGTACCGCCATTTGATTGAGCTTGAACATGAGGCAAAGGAGCTACAGAATCTCCAGGACCTCTTTGATTTGGCTATTTCTCACTTCCGCGACATTCGCTCTTGTCGTCAAGAGTTGATGCTCTTAAAGCAAGTATGGGACTTGAGTTTTCATGTCATCTCGGAGTTCACGGATTGGATGCGTTCAACATTTAAAAACGCTGATATTTCTCATTTTGAGGATGAGTGCAAAAAGCTTTCTAAACAGTTGCAGCAGCAGCCTATGAAGGTGAAGAGCTGGGATGTCTTCAAAGGCGTCGACGAGCAAGTACGCAACATGCGCACTTCTCTTCCTCTGTGTGAATCCCTCAGTTCCCCTTCTATGCGTCCTCGGCACTGGGAAGAGCTAGTGACGGCTACAAAACAACCTTGTACAATCGAGCCCGCGGCCAATGACTTTACCCTTGAGAAACTCTTTTCCCTCGGTCTACACAATTATTCCGATGAGGTTCTTAGCATCGTCGAGAAAGCCGATAAGGAATTGCGTATCGAGAAAAATCTCACCAAAATCATTGAAGCATGGGGGAAGCTGTCATTTATTTATCGGAAGGATGAGAGCATGGATTGCTATCTTTTGGAGCCTGTGGATGACATCATCGAACAGCTTGAAACTGACAACAACGCGTTGTCATCAATGCTGTCTGATCGTTTTGTCGAATACTTTTATCAAAAAGTCATCAATTGGCAAAAGAAGCTCGGTCTAGTGGATACGTGCACCACCCGATGGATGGAGATCCAGAGACAATGGCAGAATCTTTACCCGATTTTTGTCCTTTCTGAAGATATCAAAATTCAGCTACCTCAGGATGCCAAAAATTTTAGTGAGGCCGACCGTGTGTTCCGTCTGTTGATGAATAAGGCTCATCGGTACCTTAACGTCATTGAGGTTATTTGCACTGACAAACTTAAAGACGATCTTGCACGAAACCAGGAACTGGAGGAGACTTTGACCTACATTCAGACAATTCTTTTGAATTGTGAGAAGGCTCTAGCGGACTATCTTGAGACAAAGCGTAAAATATTTCCTCGTTTCTTCTTTGTCTCTGACACTGATCTCATTGATATTCTTTCCAAGGGCTCTGATCCGCGCGCGGTGATGGAGCATATGAGTAAGATCATTGACTCTGTTGAGACTTTTACTTTTGACCAAAACCCTCACCGTCATGCCAAGGACAATGAGGCATGGGAGATGGTTTCTATTCAGGGGGAGAAAGTTACTCTTGTCGATAGCTTTGCCTGCGTGGGTGAGGTCGAAATTTGGTTGGAAGGTATTGTGCAATGCATGAAGTCTTCTGTACGGCACCACATCAAGGAGGCGAATGCAAGTTACATTGAAAAGCCTCGCAATGAATGGATATACCAGTACCCTTGCCAGGCTGTGATTGTTGCCTCTCGTATTTGGTTCACAACTGAGGTTCATCAGGCGTTTACTCGAATCGAAGAAGGCAATGATATGGGTCTGAAAGAACTTCTAAAGAGTCAAAAAATTCAGCTTGACAGCCTCATCAAAGAAGTCCTCCTGGATCGCTCTTCGAATGATCGAAAGATGCTGGTACACCTCATTACTATTGACGTTCACAACCGTGATATTGTTCAAGCCATGGTCGATGAGCGCGTCGACTCGGTCGAGTCGTTCAGTTGGCAATCTCAGCTACGCTACTACTGGACGGAGACCAGGGGGAATGAGATTCGCATAGCCGATGCCGAGTTCATCAATGACTACGAATACATTGGATTGTGCGGTTGTCTGGTGATTACAAAACTCACGGATCGTTGCTATATTACCCTCACACAAGCGCTTCGGTTGAAACAGGGTGGCGCTCCCGCGGGTCCTGCTGGAACAGGCAAAACCGAGACGACCAAGGATCTTGCTCGTAACATGGGAGTTGCTTGTTATGTCTTCAATTGCTCTGATCAAATGAACTACATTACCCTTGGCCAAATTTTCAAGGGATTGGCTATGTCTGGTTCGTGGGGCTGCTTCGATGAGTTCAATCGTATCTCCATCGAGGTTCTTTCTGTGGTTGCCACACAGGTAGGTTCCATTCTTAATGCACTTAAGGAACGGAAGAAACGCTTCCGTTTTATTGATGAAGAGATTAGCATTAAGCCTTCTGTGGGTATGTGGATTACCATGAATCCCGGCTACGCTGGTCGTACTGAGCTACCTGAAAACATTAAATCGCTCTTCCGTCCCTGTGCCATGTGTGTGCCGGATCTCAAGAACATTTGTGAAATCATGCTAGCAGCAGAAGGATTTGGCGATGCGAAGGATCTTGCCCTCAAATTTGTGACCTTGTACCGTCTAAACAAGGAGTTACTGTCGCCGCAGGATCACTATGATTGGGGTTTGCGTGCTGTGAAGTCCGTACTTTATATCGCTGGTGCGCTCAAGCGTGGTGACCCATGTCTGCCTGAGCGCAACGTGCTAATGCGCGCGTTGCGTGACACAAACATGGCTAAGCTGAGCAAGGACGATGTGTACGTCTTTATGGGCCTTATTCGCTCCTTGTTTCCGAACCTGGATGTCCCCAAAAAGGACAAGCCAACGCTGGTAGAGGCATGCAAGGAGGTCTGCAAGGAGCAAGGAAACCTACCCGGTGAAAACGACATTTTCATACTCAAGTGTGTGCAGTATGAGGAGCTTTTACATGTCCGTCACTCTGTGTTTATTCTTGGCACCACTGGTTGCGGCAAGACTCAATGCTGGCGTTGCCTTATGCTTGCGCTTACCAAACTTTACCAGGATGAATGGAAGGCAAAAGCTATGGCCTCCTGTCTTAATCCCAAAGCGATATCCTCTAACGAGCTTTACGGCTATTTTACGCCACAAAAAGAGTGGCGTGATGGCATTCTTTCCAACATCTTTCGAGACTACGCGGTGGAGTCCAAGAAGAAAAAAAACATGAAGTGGATCGTACTGGATGGTATTATTGATGCCGAGTGGATTGAATCAATGAACACCGTTATGGATGATAACAAGATGCTTACCCTTGTCTCCAATGAGCGCATTCCTTTAACCGACTCCATGCGTATGATATTTGAAGTTTCACATCTTCGCAATGCCTCGCCGGCCACGGTTTCGCGTGCTGGTGTAATATTTATCAATGAAAGTGACTTGGGTTGGGGCCCTTTCAAGGATAAATGGATAATGTCGCGAGAACGGCGCGAGGCCACCATTCTTGACAACTTATTTGATAAATATGTCTCAATTGTCTTTGAGTTCTGGAATCGTTCCATGCGTACGATTGTGCCAATCATGGATATTAACGTTGTACAAACGATTTGCTTTCTCCTTGAGGGCATTTTGAACCAAATGCCCCAGGACGAATTTTTGAAGCATCCTAACGCATCTGAAGCGTACGAAAAGTACTTCGTCTTTGCGGTCATTTGGGCCTTCGGTGGTCCATTGCCAAGCTCAGATGGCCGAATTGATATGCGCCTCAACTTTTCAAACTATTGGAAGAAGGAGTTCCCTAACATGAAGATCAGCGAAAATGGATCGATTTTTGACTTCTACATTGATAAATACAAGGACGAGAATGGAGTACCAGTTTACGAGTGGAAACCTTGGGCAGAATTGGTCAAGCCGTACATCCCCGATTCGGATGTCCAGCTGTCCACGGTGTCAGTGCAAACCACTGATACGGTTCGCATGTCCTACTTGATGGGCCTTTTTATTGATAATGCAAGAGGTGTAATGCTCGTTGGCACAGCTGGTACTGGCAAAACCAACTTGATCATGTCTAAGCTCCATTCCCTTGGCAGTTCAAAGATCCTTTCCCGCACAATTGCTTTCAACGCCCGCACAACTTCCGCTGGGTTGCAGGCTGTCATTGAGCAGTCTCTCGAAAAGCGCTCCGGCCGCACATATGGCCCATTTAACCGCAAGAAGCTTATCTTCTTCTTGGATGATATGAACATGCCTACACCAGATAAGTACGGTACACAGGAGGCAATAGCGCTCTTGCAGCAGCACATTGGTTACGGTTTCTGGTATGATCGTGTAAAAATTGTTCAAAAGGTCATTGTCGACGTGCGCTACGTTGGCGCTATGAATCCCAAGTCTGGTACCTTTACGATTCTTGATCGTCTTCTCCGCCACTTCGCCGTTTTCTCTACAAACATGCCGGACCGAGATGACTTAGTCAGCATTTATGGGCAGATTCTTCGAAGTCACACCAAGGCCTTTCAGCGCGACATTCGAGACTCCCTTACAACACTTCTCACTAATGCGACAATTGAGCTACATTACAATGTCGCGAAACAATTTTTTCCCACTGCCATCAAATTTCATTATCAGTGGAATATGCGCGAAATGTTTAACATCTTCCAAGGTTTATGCAAGTCTGACCCTAAGTTGCACACCAAAAGCTTGCAATTGGTGCGACTGTGGGTGCATGAATGCCGACGCACTTTCCGGGACCGAATGGGTGATGAGGAGGATATAAAGAAATTTGATGCTTTACTGCTAGAAGTCTACGCCCGTGCTGGTTTCAGTGATGTAACCGCGAAAGAGGCTACGGAGGAGCCGTTGCTCTGGGCCCCCTTTCACACCACAAAGGGAGGCGAGGAGAATGTGTACAACGAAACCAATTATGAGGAGGCCGGAGCGTTTTTGGAAAAAAAGCTGTCCGAATATAATGATAACTACGTCGAGATGAATCTTGTTCTTTTCAACCAAGCTATCGAGCATGTCTGTCGCATTTCCCGAATCACTTCCAATCCGAGAGGTAATGCTTTTCTCATAGCCATTGGCGGCTCCGGTAAACAGTCCTTAGCTCGTCTCGCGTCTTTTATTAACGGTCACGACGTTTTTCAGATTTTGGTTACAAGCACATACGATATCGCCGACTTCCGTAGTGATATGCAGGAGTTATATAGGAAGTGCGGCCTTAAGGGTTACCCCTTTGCGTTCATTCTCACTGACACCCAGGTTGTTTCACTTGAGATGCTCGTGTACTTAAATGACATGCTGAGCAGCGGCAACGTGCCTGAGCTTTTCAACCAGGATGAGCGCGATGGTATCGTCTCTTCCATTATGAATGAGGTCAAGGCGTCCGGTGTGACGGAGTATTCTAATCCAGATGTGTGTTGGGAATATTTTATTCAGAAAGTCCGCTCAAACCTGCACATTATTCTTTGTTTTTCGCCCGTGAGTAAGAACTTTGCTCAATGGTGTCGCCAATTCCCTGCACTTGCTAACACCACTGTTATCGACTGGTTTCTAAGCTGGCCTGAACAGGCACTCAGGTCCGTGGCTCAGCGCTTTCTCTCTGAAATAGATCTTGGTGGTGAAGAGGCAACCGCTAACATTGCCAACTACATGTCCTTCTGCCAGGTGAAGGTAACTGAGATGTGTGAGGAGTACTATGTGCAGGAGAAGCGTTATGCGTACACCACACCCAAAACCTTCCTGGAGCTCATTGCCCTGTACAAGGAGTTGCTGATAAAGAAAAGAGAGGAAAATACTGACAAGACACAGCGATTAATCAACGGCATTAACAAAATCAAAGGCGCCGGTGTGCAGGTACAGGCGTTGCAAGAAGTGCTTCACCGTGAAAGCGTTGAGGTCGAAGAGGCTCGCCAGAAAACTAATGCACTGCTAGAAACCGTTGGACGTGAGAAGTCCATTGTTGAGGAGCAGAATGCGATTGCGGCTAAAGAAGAGAGTAAGACAAACAAGATTGTTGAGGAAGTTACTTCGTTTGAGAAACAATGCCAGGAAGACTTGGCCAAGGCACAGCCACTAGTTTTGGAAGCCTTGGCAGCCCTCGACACGCTTGACAAGGCCTCCATCGCTGAGCTCAAGAACCTTGGTAAGCCCCCGGAGGACGTCCAGATGGTTGCCATCTGCGTACTTGTGCTAACGGCTAACCCCCGATCTATTCCTAATGTTAAGCAGCGCACATGGAACGAGTGTAAGAAAATGATGAATCAGGTGGACCGATTCCTCACGGAACTACGAAACTTTGATGTCAACAATATTCCGCAGGCTTGTGTTGATCAAATCCAAGTGTATATAACCAATCCCGCGTTTAATCCTGATAACATCCGGTCCAAATCCTTTGCTGCAGCCGGTTTGTGTAAATGGGCTATTGGCATGAACCGTTACCACATCGTGCGCTGCGAGGTACGACCCAAAGAAGAACGGCTTGCTGAGGCGCAACAGCGCCTTGCGACTAGCAGCGCTGCTTTGAAGAAGGTTCAAGACAAGGTGGCTGACCTCCGTTCTAAACTCAATGCGCTTGTGAGCCAATATGATGAGGCCGTCGCTGAAGCAAACCTCATCAAGGCGAAGGCAGACAAAACACAGATGAAGATGAACCTAGCGCAGCGCCTCGTTTCTGGGCTCTCAGACGAGAGCGTCCGATGGGGAAACACCATTAACGATCTCAAGCTCACGGCCTCGCTCTTAGTTGGTGACGTTCTTTTGTCCTCTTCCTTTGTGTCGTATATCGGGCCATTTTCGGGGGCCTTCCGTGAGCGTATTGTGCATGGGGAATGGGTTCCACACATAAAGAAGCTGGGCATCCCCATGACCGAATCTTTGGATCCGACTATGGATGTACTTACCAGTGAAGCTGCAGTCGCCTCTTGGAATAATGAGGGTCTACCGTCGGATCGCATCTCGACTGAGAACGGTGCCATCATGACAAACTGCTTGCGATGGCCACTAATAATTGATCCACAGTTGCAGGGTGTGCGCTGGATTCGCACTCGCGAAGAAAAGAACTCGCTGCGTGTTATCCAAACCACCCAAAAGAATTGGCAGCATGTACTGCAGACTTGTATCGAGAATGGAACGCCTTGTCTGATTGAGTCTCTTAGTGAGTTTATTGAACCGGTTCTTGATGGCGTTCTCAGCCGCCAAGTTTTCAGGAAGGGCGGCAAGCAATTCATAAAACTTGGGGCCTCTGAGGTAGAATATAACCCCAACTTCCGCCTTATTCTTCAGACGAAACTAGGAAATCCACATTATGGTCCAGAGGTGAATGCGCAGACGACTCTCATCAACTTCATGGTCACCGAGGATGGCCTGGAAGACCAGCTGCTGGCTGTTGTGGTAAGCCAAGAGCGCCCTGACTTAGAGAAACGGCGTGGTGCGCTTTTGCGGCAAATGAATATTATGACAATCGAGCTGCAACAATGTGAGGATGGACTCTTGTACGAACTGACAAATGCCACTGGAGATATCCTTGAGAATATTACACTTATTGAGAACCTTGAAAATACAAAAAAGAAGACGAAGGAAATCAACGCCTCATTTACGCAGGCTGTGACAACGCAAAAGGATATCGCACAAAATCGTCTGAGCTACACCGACGTGGCAGCACGCGGCTCATTGCTCTTCTTTCAAATGGATCAGCTCTGGCGTATTGATCACATGTATCAGTACTCCTTAGAGACCTTCATGGTTGTCTTTAATAAGGGTCTCGCGGCGGCGACGCATCCAGAGAACAAAAAGAACGTGGATGCGCGCGTGAAGCTTGTTACCACTTCCATTACCGAGAGTGTTTTTGCCTACGTTTCTCGTGGCCTTTTCGAGCGCCACAAGCTTATTTTCTCGAGTTTGTTGACCTTCTCTATTCTTAGCGCTTCCAAACTAACAAATCCCATCCAACTGGACTTCCTGTTGCGAGGGAAGAAGAAACCTGGCGCGGAGCGTCCCGAGACGGTGGCAGAGTGGTGCACCCAGCCAGCATGGGACGCGATACAGGCTCTTTCCGAGGTAGAAGGTTCAACCCCTGAGTTTAGTCTGCTTCCAGGTGACATGGCGGAGAACAACCGATGGATGCAATGGTGTGAGACAGTGAAACCAGAAAACGAGAAAATGCCTGCCGAGTGGAAGAGCTTGAACGACTTTGAGCGGCTACTGGTGCTGCGTTGCCTGCGGCCAGACCGCCTGACGGCCGCACTTGAGGCCTTTGTGAGCAAGATGATTGGCAGTTTCTTTGTTTCTGATCAGGCAGTCGACATTTCTGTTTCCTTTAACAATTCCAGCACCACCACTCCGCTCTTTTTTATTCTTTCACCTGGTGTGGATCCTATCAAATCGGTTGAAGAGCTAGGTCGCAAGCTTGGTTTTACCTACGATAATGAAAAACTCTACAATGTCTCCCTCGGCCAGGGCCAGGAGGTCGTAGCGGACCGCGTTCTTGAGCGGTGTTTCAAAGAGGGTGGCTGGGCGATGTTGTCCAATATTCACCTTGTCGAGAAATGGCTTCGTAGCCTAGAGCGCCGGTTAGATGGATACGCTGAGACATACACACGTATGGCGCAGCTTCGCAAGGAGATTGCGGAACGAAAAGCAGCCGAGATGGCTAGCGCAGCAGCTCGTCCAGTCGAGGTGTCCCCTGCGGCTAACAAAGACCACGAAAGTGACGGCAGCGACAGCGGGAAATCGCTTGAACAGAGCGGTCATGAAAATGAGGAAGGTGCAACGGACGACGAGGAACAGCTTCAGGATACTCAGGAGGAGGCTATACATGTTTCTGATGACGAAATCCCGTTTGATGGTCAGAAGGGCCACCCTGATTTCCGTGTCTTCCTCAGCGCTGAGCCGTCGGAGGTGATCCCGATCGGCGTTCTACAGCGTTCCTTAAAGCTTACATCGGAGCCGCCGACTGGTATTCGTCAAAACATTGTGCGCGCTATCGCTAACTTCAGTGATGAGCCATGGGAAAAGAGCGCGAAGCCAACGGAGTACCGTTGCATTATGTTTTCTATGTGCTTTTTCCACGCTGTCGTAGTGGAGCGCAAGAAGTTTGGCCCTCTAGGCTGGAACCGTGGTTATCCCTTCAATGCTGGTGACCTTACGACCTGCATGGAGGTAGCTGCCAACTACATTGAGGACCGCCCCAAGGTACCTTGGGAAGATCTGCGCTACGTTTTTGGTGAAATCATGTACGGAGGACATATTACAGACGACTGGGATCGTGTTTTGTGCATGGCATATCTAAGAAGCTTTATCGTTCCTGAGTGTTGCGATGGATTACAGCTTGCTCCAGGGCTGTTGGTACCCAATCCGTGCAGCTTCCAGGAATATATGCAATGGCTCACACAGGATAAGGAATTCCCTACAGAATCGCCGCTTCTCTATGGCCTTCACCCTAATGCTGAGATCAACTATCGCACAACGCAGGCAGATGTTCTCTTCAAGACTATTAATGAGCTGCAACCCAAGAAGCACGCTGGTGGCAACATGCTCAGTCCACAGGATATCGTACAGCAGAAGATTGATGAAATCCGCGAGCGGTTGCCGGAACCACACAACCTTCAGGACTTATCAGAGCGCCTTGAAGATGACCGATCACCGCAACAGCACGTTTTTTACCAAGAATGCGAACGGATGAATTTCCTCATTGATACGCTGAAGGTCACACTTGAAGAACTTAACCTTGGGCTGAAGGGCGCCCTCTCCATGACGGCTGGCATGCAGGAGCTGTTCGATCAGATCTTCCTCGATAAGATGCCGGAGAAATGGGCCCGAGTGTCCTTTATGTCTCAGCGCATGTTGGGATCCTGGGTGGACAACTTTATCGCTCGTAACGAGCAGCTCATCAGCTGGAACGTGGACCTGCAAACACCCAAGGTGACTAACATTGCTCTCTTTTTCAACCCCATGTCCTTCCTGACTGCCATCATGCAAACCATATCCATTGTTAACAGTTTTGACCTCGACCAGATGGCTCTCGTTGTGGATGTCTTGAAGAAGTCTGCAGACCAGATAGAAACTAGTGCACGCGACGGATGCTATATTTGTGGCCTTTCAATGGAAGGCGCGCGCTGGGATACGACAACAGGATGCATTGAGGACGGTCGCCTCAAGGAGCTTTATCCACCGATGCCAATTATGCAGGCGCGCTCCCTTCCCCTCAGCAAAATCGATCGCCGTGATCAGTATGAGTGTCCTGTTTACAAAACACAGGCCCGAGGTCCTGGCTTTGTTGTCAGCTTTTTCCTCAAGACTAAGCAGCCCTCTCGTAAGTGGGTGATAGCTGGTGTTGGGCTTTTGCTGGATGTTGTTGAGTAGTAGAATTAGAATGAAATCTTAAAATATGAATGGTCCTTTGGATTATTTCGGATATTGACAGTTAAAGTGTCCTTTGGGAATAAATATTGGTATATCATCATTAGCGTCTTTTGTTCCTTACTTACCAATCATTTTATCAAATATAGGGGGACCATGTGAATGAACGAATTACTTGTAATCTTTTTTGTTTGAAGATTGTTCCTCTCCCTCCCCCCCCCCCTCCCCCCTCCCTCCCCTCCTCCCCCGATGTAATTACCCTTTCCTTTATGTTTATTATCTACATGTTCAATAATACCAAACATCATTAATATATTATTTTAGAAATCCAATCTTTATGTGCCTTCGAAATCGATGTAGAGGAAGAATGGTTTAATCATGTTGCATTTTTTTCCTACATCTTTTTTGCTTTTCTTCGTATATAGTTTTAGAATAATATATTTACGTGTTTAGGTTTGAAATGTGGAAATGATTGGTGTGATTTCCTCTTAGATGGTCTTACACTGATTGTTCGGAAGGAGATTTGCAACAGATACCACCATAAAACATCCAAACCGCACTTGATGCTATTGCCAGATCTGATAATGGTAGCCAACTCTGCCCATTCACCAGGTTTCAACTACTAATAGGAAATCGTTGTAGACTAATCTCTGTTTCATGCATCCGATGAATAATTTTTATTAGCGGTGATAATACTTTACAATTTTATTCTTATATCCTATTTTTATTATTTCATTGATTACTTAGCTTCATTTACTCCTTTTTTTCTTATGCATCTATACAAAAACATATAATTGTTTTACTCCTTTATTACTTTTCATTCCCCTCATCCGGAATATTTTACAAGAGTTTTTTCTTCCTGGACTTTCTAAGTGGTCAGCGTTTTAGTGCTCTACAACTGCTCGAAAGGAGGGGGGAGAAGAGAAGAAGATTCCGCACCTACTAAGGCTTTTGTATATCTGAATATGTCAGGGAAACCGTTTCAATATCCATTTTTAAGATTGAAATCTGCACAACATAGTTTGTACGTGTGTTTCTCTTCGCTTTGGATTAGAAATGGGACCTCTCCCTATTTCTCTGGTTCAACGACGTTATCACAGCAGCCGATTGGCAGCATTTCAAGTTCAGCCACGCCACCTATTCGAGGACAACCCTTAAAAAAAAATGTAGTGACCGCATCCAATTTGAACATTAATAATAGTAGAATCAGAGACTCGCACTCTATAGTGCCGTATCCAGCTCGACAAAATATGTTGTCGTCTGCTTTTAATGAGGATGCGGAGAATACACTTTTAGCTAAATCCCAGTACTGTTTACTTACGATGTCGTATGACCCTTCAAAATCGTTGTACGCTTTATATTTAGCCACTACCAATGAATTGATCACCATGACCGAGAACGTCCTCTGGAAAGGTTCTATTTGGATTGACGCCAGAGTTGCCGACGAGTACGTCGCTGCCTTAGTCTTCCCATCTGATTCTTCGAAGGAATTGAAAGATGCTATCGCACAGATAGTAGAAAAGGCAAAGAAACGTGTGATAGCTGCGCCAGACACGTGGGGTATTGCGTATATGGCTTTTCGAGCTCAGCGGGAAATTGTAAGAGGAGTTGACCTTCCGGATAGTCTTGAAGAGGCCGCTTTTTTGCTCTCGCGTAAGCAATTCGATGCCACTGTTACCAACACAACTCTTTTTGATCTCAATTCAGGCACCTACCTTACCGCGGAGGAAGTGTCACTGCAAGGCGCCGCACGCAGTGCTTTGCTCAATTGGTATATTTTATTTAATGTTCACAAGCGATTCGGTACGCCAGGTAGTCGTAAGACCCTCAACCCTGTTGAGCAGATTGTTCGCCGCGTTGTGAAGGCGGTGAATGTGTTTGTGGTGGATCTAAACGTGAGGGTTGGGAAAGGCACGATCGCAGAGGGCCATACCATGATCGCGACTATTTACTCCGCGCAGAAGCGATCACAAACGGTCCACATGATCCGCAGCCTTGCCGAAGAAACCTCGAAGCTGGCTGCTCTCACGACGCTCTTCTACGGTGAGGGCAGCACCTCGATTACGCTTTTTATTCCGACTATTCGAACCCGCCCTTCACAGCTCGTGGCATTTGCACGCACGTGCCGACCGAAAAGTCCGTTCTTCGTCGCGGAGATTTCCAGCCTCGCGCCGTACCTCGGCGGTGGTGTCGTCTCCAAAGGACTCACAGATCAGTCGGACCCACGCAGCACCTGGTGCACCATCCGCGATAACTCCTTCCCGGAAAAACACACTCGAAAAGAGGAGGAGAAGATCGATGGCTATCTTCAGAGGGGCTTTACTGCTCTCGCCACGAAGCTCTTTTCTGAACGACTTCAGAAGGTGTCCCCGGCGATCCTGACAGCGGCTAACAGTATCCCCACACAGAAGGATCCGCAGAGCGCGTTCGACAGAGTGAAAAAACTCGTCCAGACGGAGCCGGATTCCATGATGACTAGTGTAGTTAGTTCAACGTTTCTTAACAAAGTAGATGTGAACGATGCCGAGGTGGTTTTTATGCTGCAGCAGTGGCGTTCTAAAATATACGAATCCACGGATCGACTGGAGCGGGAGAAAAAAGCTTCTGAGCTTTTGGAGCGGTATCTTATCCTCGATCTGGAAACTACCACTATTCGACGTTATAAACGTGTGGCAAACCCGTTCACAAAAGAGAATTACGTCGTTTTGTCTGGTGCACGTGACTACAAGGGCAACGTGTTTATGCCAAGTCGCTATTTCCATCGCAGCTTAGCCCTACAGTACGACAATCCCGCTCTGACCAGCACGAATCAACTGGTTGAGAAATCTTCAAAGGACTCACTTTTTTTGCCACCACTCAATAATTACACGATAATTGTTGGGCATAACATCAAATTTGATCTACTGCACATCTGGCGTGATGTTGAACTCCGAAAATTTTTCAAGCGTGGTGGAAGAATCTGGGATACTATGTACGGCGAGTATCTCCTAAGTGGTCAAGAAATAAAGCTCGGGCAGGGTGCGGGTTTGGAGGACATTGCCAAGAGCTACGGTGGGCAAACCCCTAAACTGGATGCTGTAAAAAGGGCGTGGGCAGAGGGAAAGGAAACATACGAGATCCCTTACTCGATACTTACGGAGTACCTTAATGGTGACTTGGAAAACACGGAGTTGATTTTTTGCAAGCACCGTGAGCGAGCCTTAGCCCAGCGCCAGGTTATTGTCTGCAATGCACGCATGGAATCTATTCTGTGCACCACTGAAATGGAGTATAACGGACTCAAAACAAACGTGGAGTTGGCTATAGCGCAGAGCAATGATCTTGCGAGCAAAGTTACCACGTTACGAAAGGATCTGATGAGTTTCATACCCGGTGAAATTCCTCCAGAATGTCGCAAATTCTTTAACTGGTCATCTAATCAACATCTGATTGCCTTCTTTTTTGGTGGTAAACTTAAACTGAACACCAATTCACGTGAAAGTAAGACCCTACCCGGAGAGGTGTTCGATCGGCACACCCTCTTTGTTCCGCCCGAGATGTACACCAAAGATCTATTTCCCAATGGGGTCTTTTTGCGGTCACCAGTGAATTCAGCTGGAATCTGCGACTGCGCCATCATATCCGGTATGCCGCTGGAAAAGGGAACCCGCATTTTCAAGGCCTACTTTGATAGCTACATGAAGCAGTCAAATTTCAGAAAGAGCGCTAGCCTTATGGACTCACTGAAGCGTGAGATGCTTGTTATCCCACGTGCTACACCCGAAACGAAAGGAGTGGTGTCTGCTTTAGGGAATCTTCTACCACGCCGCCATATCTTCTTTTTTGCCAGCTTATTACTTGGTGCCGATAACACGATTGACCGTCTTTTTATTAAAAACCCTGTAACCGGTGAGTCCGAGACAATCAAATGCACAACAAAAGGTGAGGCTTTGGAAAACTTCATTACCGCACAGGTGGAAAAGTATACCGATAAGATCATGCCGGTGGACGATGAGGGCTCTGGAGAGAACAGGGCTTTTGTCGAGGCTCAAGTAATTATTTTTGCCCGAGACGCCAACCTCACTTTTATATCGTATTTGAAAAGTGATTCGACCCTGGTAAGGTACATTGAAAAATGTTCTGGCGGTGCCGTTGGGGAAACGGACGTCAACCAGCGCTACATCATTCACTTTGCGGACACTGTACCCATCCTGGCGTTCTACAAGCACATGTACGGTGAGGAGGCCCCGATGACGGCTAAGCGGACCTCCAAATCTCCCGTTGGCAAATATCGCGTTCCTGGTACAAGCACGAACATACAGGTTATCCCGTCAAAAGCTCTTCCACCGTCTGCCAGAAGCCGTTTGGACGCCGCCGAGGCTTTTAAGAGAAAGTTAATCCAAGAGGCGAACATGAAGCCTGAGGAGTGGTGTAACTTCTACATTGATATATTTCTTCATATTGCAAATGCTGCACTTCAGAGGGAGGCCTTAGTTCCAGAGAAAGTCAAACGTAAGGGCTCAAAGTCTGAAGCCAGTGCACGATCTGATGAGGAACTTCCAGTGCTTCTTCGCCCGAGACGCGCGTTTGTCGGCTACTACAACTCACTCTCCCCTGAGGAGCGAAAGCGTATATCCTTGATGTGTCTTGTTGGCCGCACTGTGTCGACAGTCTATGACTGCTTTACAGTGCCTTGTACCCATGACGATGTTGTGGAGGTAAACATCAAGGGTCGTTTGGCTATGTATGTCCCTAACGAACTAGAAGCGGAGCAAATTATGCGTCATTTTCGAAGCTCCACAACGCGTCAACTGCAAGTTGGGGAGGAAACATTAAAATACTTCAATATAAACCACAAGGATAAGATTGCAGGTGTCATCCTAGAGCTCCGCGCTCTAGAAAAGCTTATCGGCACTTACTACGAGAGCACCGACGGCGGTACAGGCATGGTATCCCTCGTCCACACCATTGACAGCTGTATTCATCATGAGCTTATTCATAACAAAACCAACACGGGAAGACTAGCGAGTGCCAATCCCAATTGCCAAAATATTCCTACAGAGGACAAGTCCAATCTTCGAGACATGTTTATTAGTCGTTATGGCGCCAACGGCATTTGCATTGAGGCGGACTATTCGCAACTTGAGGTGGTGGCTTTGGCGGTTCTAGCCAATGATCAGAAGATGTTGGAGGACTTGAGGCTTAACGTTGATTTCCATTGTAAGCGTGTTACCATGATGCGTCCAGATCTTAAATACACCGATGTGCTACTGCGTGCGAAGAAAAATAAAGAATCTGAGTTTGTGAAGCTACGACAACAGGCTAAAACCTTTTCTTTTCAGCGTCAATACGGTGCCGGTGTGAAGATGATCAGTCAGAATACTGGTCTTACCCAGGACCAGGTGCGTATGCTGATTGAAAAGGAAGACGAGACTTACCGAAACATCGAAGTCTTCAACCGCATGGTGACCCTTTGTGTAAACCAATACGATGCTTCTCTACAAAATGGCGCCCGAAATTTGAAGGGGCATCAATTTTTTAAGGGCATGTTCCCCGTGCTCACCGGCAGCCGATACGTATTCACCGAGTCCGACATCCCAGAATCCATGCAGTGGGGCCGCTCTCGATCTCACAAGTCGACCAACTTCTCTCCAACTCACTTAAAGAACTATCCGGTTCAAGGCTTTGCGGGTGAGGTTGTGCAGATTATTTTAGGCATCTTATGGCGAAAATTTTTTGAGTGCGATAATTATAACGGTTTGGCAGTGCTCACGAACACGGTGCATGACTGTGTGTGGGTGGACTGCCACCAGTCGGTGTATCTACAGGTCGCTAGTGATGTTGAGGCGACGATGAACAGTGTACAGACAGTTTTTAACGAGATGTTTCCGGAGATGGAGGTGTCCGTTAACTTCCCTTGCGATGTAATGTCAGGCGAGAACATGGGTGCACTGCGTCCAATTATGAAAGAAACAACACTCTAGATGATACCTGCGGTCTCTGTGTTTGTTATTGTGTTATTTTATTTTTCCTTTTTGGAAATTCAATGCTTTCACACATATGAACATGACAAAGAAGTACCGTAGTAGATATGAAGAGGGGAACACGGTGTAGAGAAGGGAGAATCTAAGAAATAAATGTTTACTGCATGGGTAAGAATAGCTTCTCACATCACTAAGCCTTTTCTAAATATAACAGAGCAATCATGGGTTTCTCTTATCCGATAAACTTCATCAGATATAAAACAAAATACAACTGATATTTGGATGCTACAAATAATAGTTTTCCCTTTTCAAAATTCATAGAAATGCCTTGTGGACTTCCATTAGATTTCATACATGCGGTACACTTACATAAATGTATTTTTTCCTCACTCATGTGTGAAAATTTAGTATTTTCACTGTTTTGGATCCTTTTTTTTCCTTGAATGCCGACCATATATATATATATTGGTACCACTTCCTTTTTCTTTTACCCCATCTTTTCTTAAAATAATATAAAATGTCAAATTGTTTAATCCAGTAAGAATATTTTAGCTACATTAATACCTTATCATAATTTTATTTCATACCGAATTCCTTTCCTACTTTGAGTATACCTTGACGGAAAAATTGTGGAGCTCTACTTAAAACCATCAATTTTAGTTATTTACAACATATACACACGCACAAAGTGTATTCAAATTTTGTTTGTTTTCCGTATTTTTCCATTTTATTGTTGCTGAAAAGATAAATATCATAATGATATACTTTCTGTTCGCACTCGCTTTCATCCTTGCCACTATTTATTACGTCAATAAGGCTATTTCAAAGTTTCAGTGCTGTCCCACACGCATTAATCATGATTATGATGCGATCATTGTGGGTGGGAGCATCGCAGGGCCGACGATCGCGAAAGCCTTATCAGACCAAGGCCGAAAGGTGCTTCTAATCGAAAGAAAACTTTTCACAAAATCTAATCGTATTGTTGGCGAGCTTCTACAGCCTGGTGGTATTAGTGCGCTTAAGATTCTTGGGATGGATCAGTGCGCGACCTCCATTGGCATGCCGTGTAAGGGTTACGTCGTGGCTGATACCAAAGGTAGGCAGCTAGAGCTGTCCTTCCGAAATGGGGTACAAGGCGTGTCGTTTCACTTTGGAGATTTTGTACATAACTTGCGCGAGTTTACGTACAAAAATTGTCAGGAAAATGTCACGATGATAGAAGGCACGGTAAAGACAATCTTGACAGAGGGTCACACGTGTTATGAGCGGGCTTATGGGGTTGAGTATACCGTCGTGGAGGATTACCACGAACCCGAGGATCCTTTCCATGTTGATCCACCAAATTCTGGTAATGCATCTTACGTGACGAAAACTGCAACTGCCCCACTGATTATCATGTGCGATGGGGGAATGTCAATGTGGAGGGGGCGCTACCAGCACTTTACACCGGCTGCTGAATATCACTCTAACTTTATTGGAATTATCCTTAAAGGCGCAAAATTGCCTATTGAACGAAATGGTACTATCTTTTCGAGTAAGGAGGCTATTATCCTATCCTATCGCCTGGATCCTAACGAGGTGCGCGTTTTGGTGATCGCCAATTACACGAGGCTTCCTCGTTTATCAAAGCTGTGTGAGTGGCTTTTAAAGGAGGTGGCGCCCTCCCTGCCTGAGGGCATGCGTGAAGCATTTATTTGCGCTGTTACCAAACAATCAAATATCCAGATTGTACCTGTCGCAGCATGCCCTCCTACCTTTCCGTCCATTAAGGGCTACGTTGGGATTGGTGACCACAATGATCAGCGAAACCCTCTCACTGGCGGTGGGATGACCTGCGCTTTCCACGATGCTATCTGTCTCGCCAACAAACTCAAAGACATTCCTCAAATGCGGACGAACAATTTGATGCATGCGGCTATAATTCAAAATCGCATCCAGGACGCCATTTGGGGCTATTCACGTCATCGCTATCACCACAGCAGTTGTATTAATATCCTTTCATGGGCCCTCTACATGGTATTCAGCACAGAGCTGCTGCGAGAGGTCTGTTTTGACTACTTTAAGCGCGGCGGGGATTGCGTAACGGTACCGATGGATCTCCTTGGCGGGCTTAACTCCAGTTTATTGACTTTAATTTATCATTACTTTAGTGTCATGCTCCATGGAGTTAATTTATTGCTAACAGGGGATGGGACCTTTTTGTCTCGAACCCATAAGCCTCTTTCCAGGTACCAAAAGCTTAAGAATGCGTTAACTTTTTTCATAAGCTTTTCGCGTCTTTATGAGGCTACTTACTTGATGATCATTTTTATAATTGCTGTGGTGCAAATTGGTATGCGGGAATTTTACTCACCGTGGCGTCTCATTGATCCTGTCAGTGTTGTTGGAAAAATATGCAAAGATATCAAGACACATGCCTACAAATTCTTATTCGGCAGTAAATATTCCAAACCTGTAGGATTCTGAGAGTATATACGCAGCTTTTTGAATTGTTTCAAATAGTATATTTCTGTCCCTGGTGACAATATATTTCCGAGTTGAATTTTTATTTATTTAGCACGTGGTAAGTTTTAATTGTTTACCATATTTTTTTCCCTATGATACGTCTTAAGTCTTGCAAACCAAAAGTTTTTTATGAATTAGAGATCAAAAAATGTAGTAAAATTTTTACTAATTATATATAGGTAAAAATCATATTAGAAAATAAATATTGTTTTCGAATTTAATATCTGTTTAAGTTAAATCAATGATGAGAATGTCTATCTACATATAGATACACATTTGTTTAAGCACACATGTATATTAATTGTGCTTTTTTTATCTTTAAAATATAGTGGAAGTACGTGATTTCAAATCCACTGTATTACCTTCTCTGTATGCAATCAGATTTCTGTCTAATGCTATCAATATGTTTTGAAACAAACAAAGCTGATGAAACCTATTTTTCACTTTTACCAACTTTTTAGCACCTTTTTTTTTGTATCTTTCCTCACCACACACTTGAATAACCATAATTTTTCTATTTATATTTTCAAAACTAGGGAAAGTAAAGTTTTCCCTTGATTTTATTATAAATAACGACTCAGAATGGATTCAAAACTTCAGAAATTACTTGAAAAGGGTGGCCTTGGGCACACCATTCAAGGTTTCATCGATGCTGGTATCTGTAATGTTCAACAGTTAAAGCAACTTGTGATGCAAGATTATCAATCCGTTGGCATTATTGGCATGGTTGATCGTCGTAAACTTTTTGAGTTAATTCAATTTCTCAAACGCGAACAGCCGAGCAATGGCTCACAAAGTAATATTACCTCGTCCGTGTCCCCCACTGAAGCGTTGCCACGCACTCGTCCGGTACCCGCTACTCCGGATTACACTCCCGCAGGTCGCGTTGCGACTCCTCTGCGACAGCAAACCCCGATAAAATATATAAACGAAAGCGAAAAGATTCATGAGACGTCGAGAACTAATTTATCGCAGCGTCGTGATACTAACACGGATACTGATTTTGTCATGAAAGGCAGCAATTCTTCCCGCCCTGCTTCTCGTCCGATCTCTCGCCCTTTGAGCCGGACAAGTTCCATGACAACATCAATAGGGAAGCGCAACGAAGGACCGCAGTCACGGCGTCGCAGTCGCATCGTTGTGGTTATTCGTAAACGGCCACTTAGTGTAGGCGAGATGAATGAAAATTTGTACGATATTCTGGCAACGGATCCCGAGAATAATCGAATCATCACATTGTTGGAGCCCAAACAAAAAGTGGATCTAACGCGTTATATTGAGAAACATCGTTTTACCTATGATCTTGTCCTTGATGACCGCAAGTCGAATATCGATGTCTATGAATTAGCTTGCAAACCGCTAGTCGAAACCGTTTTCGAGGGTGGATGCGCCACTTGTTTCGCCTATGGTCAAACCGGCAGCGGCAAGACTTATACAATGCTTGGCAAGAACTCGCAGGAAGGTATATACTTAATGGCCGCACGAGACATTTATTCGCGTCTGGAGCCAGGGATGGCGATCCACGTTTCTTTCTTTGAGATCTACGGTGGAAAGCTTTATGACTTGCTGAATGAGCGCGAGAGGCTAGCCTGCCGAGAGGATAGTCGTGGGGTGATCAATGTTTGTGGTCTCACCGAGCATCGTGTCCAGGATACTGGTCATCTCATGCAAATCATCGATTACGGCAATAACATTCGCGCATCCGGTACCACCGGAATGAATTCCGATTCCTCACGTTCACATGCCATTTTACATATCACCATCGTCAATTCGAAGAATCGGTTCTTTGGCCGCTTCACTTTTATTGACTTAGCCGGGTCGGAGCGTGGGGCGGATACCCTAGATAGCGACCGCGCCACTCGCCTTGAAGGGGCCGAGATCAACAAATCCCTCCTGGCGCTGAAGGAATGCATCCGTGCCCTAGACCAGAACCATCGGCACATCCCCTTTCGCGGCTCCAAGCTGACGGCCGTCCTTCGCGATTGCTTCACGGGGAACAGTCGTACTGTGATGATTGGCAACATCAGCCCGGCCAGCGGGAGCTGCGAGCACACCCTCAACACCCTGCGCTACGCCGACCGCGTCAAGGAGCTGAAGAAGGACCGCTCGAACCATAGCGCGGCGGAGGAGATTATGATGGGGCAGATGCCCACCGAGCACGTGGAGACGGTGGGGCTCACCGGTTCGTTCGCGCAGCGCCGTGCGCAGGAGCGCAAGGTCTCGGGCAGTGGGATGGGCGCGGGCGGCGACTCGAGATCGTCGAGTCAGGCTCGCGCGGCGGCAACCCCGCCTCCCGCGTCTAAGCCATTTTTTTTCATGCGGGAGGCTAGCTCCAGCGACTCGTTGCGCCCGCAGGGATGCATCCCTCGCCAGGGCAGTTCCTGTCCCGTCGCGGGGGCCGTAAAGCATGAAACGGCGTATAAATCTGGCTCCAACTTTAGCCGTCAAGCGAGTGACCTGTCTTCCATTGTCGCCACCCCTACTGTGAACGACTTTCGCTACGATAGTGGCGATAGCCTTGATGCTGAGGAGGACAACCTCATCTTAGCTCACCGCCACCACATCGACTCTATGATGGAACTTCTTAAGCAAGAGATGACCCAGCTGAACGCGGCGGAGAACCCGGAGACAAGTATGGAAGTTTACTGCCGTAATGTGGATCGCATCTTGAATAACCAAACGAAGCGGATCGAAAGGTTACGAAAACAGATCGCACAGTACAGTAAGCACTTAGGAGCCAGGCAGCATCGCTGAGAGCAGGGTAGAACTTGATTAATAATTGTATTCTCCCTTTTTTTTTGGGTGGCGTTCGGCTTTGGATTTCTTTTATTAATAGTATTATTACTCATGTAGTTCTGTGTATGCCGTTTTCTTTTTGTTTTCTTTGCTGTTTACCCCCTTAGAATGACTAACCTGTTGCTCGTGTGAAGTGTCAAAAATTTTCATTTGTGCTTGTTTTTCTTGTTGCTTTTATAGTAATGAATAATTTGTGTGAATATATACCTATGCCATATCTTACTGAATATAATTGTTTACTCTAGTCATTCACAGATTATTTTAAATTGTGCTCTGGACTTGTTTATAAACCGTTAGAGGTGTGTGTCTTTCCTATTAAACATTCGCTCATTTATTATTTGCTATTTCTGAAATTGCTTGAAAAACTCTAGGGGCACGTCGCTCTTCCGAAATGGAATTCCTACCTGAGTGTTTTTGTGAACACTCAATTAGGAATCAAAAGTGACATCTTTGTCATTCAGCTCGTGGGACAAAATGTTCTGTAATAATTTATAAAGGGTTGGGCCAAGAAGGGAAAGCTATTGAAACAAGCAACACTTTTTTTTACACTTTTAGTGACGTGCGTAAGTTTTTTTCGCCAGTTATATAGATATTATGTGGTAGTTGTTTCAAGCTAATCAAGCAGAAGGAAGGAATATAGGAAGTAGTAATTGTAACCGAATTCCACTTTCAGTACCTTTTCTTCCACTTTTTCCTTTTAGATCTTGGTAAAGAAGCTCTAAATCATCTTTATCAACATTTTATGAATATTTGTGTTCCCTTTTTCCTATTTGTATGCTCTAATTTTTATTATTATCCATTTAGTGATGATCCTGAGAGCATATTTCACTTTTTGTCCTAAACGAAAATTGCTAAACAATCCTGGTAAATTGTTGTCTAATTTCCTCTTTATTCGTTATAAATTTTTTTTTAAGATTGGAAAAGATAGTATAGTTTCTGTTTGCCTCAAGTGGAGGCAAATTACCATTCTAAGAGGTGAAAATTTAACCTCCAAACCATCATTTCTCGTTTTAATTATAGATTCCAAGTATCATAAAGTAGGATTTCATTGGATTAAGGGATCTATATCTAAACCTTTTCCTTTCTTTGTTCCTAAAACAAAAGAAAAACCTTTCTATTTGTACTTGTCCTTAGTTTATATCTCCTAACCCCTCTCTTGTGAATCCTTTCTGATGCAAAAGCTGAGGCCGTGTGTCACAGCTTTGACCGCTGTTCCGGTGTGCCACTCCGCACAGCTGGTCACTACACACCGGCTGAGTTCCTCAGCGTATCCTTTCGTGTCTGCCGCAAACGGCGTCGTGTCAGTTCGCTCCAAGGGTTACGGACCTTCCAAGGACCTACTCAAAGGTATAGACCCCAAGAGCCGGGTTATGATAGAATCGAAGCTTCACCCTGAGGACCTCTCCCTCCAGCGCACTGTCCTTGCTCTTGCGATGCCAAGTATTCAGGAAATTTCTGTGGTGGATAATCTCGACAGCCATGATTACAAGATCGCGCCTGCTGAGGGGTTGACGAGCGGGATAATACCAGAAAAGAACCCTAATTTAAAGGCCACTGATGCGTTGACGCGGATGGAGTTGTTCGAAAGCACGCTCACCGAGCAATTAGCCACCGTATCGAATCTCATTATAAGGCAAATTTGTACATCTAGGAAAGTGGATCTTGATACCATGGAAGCATCCCAAAGCAACGAGATGCGCACGTTAGCTAACCTAGTGATTCAATGCATCCGTGATGAGCTGAAAGATACGCTTCGCAGCACTCTATCCACGAACGCCAAAGCCCCTTCGTTGCCAAATGTTGAAGATCTTTCTAAACGAATCAGCCAACAGGTCGCACTATCATTGGAGAAGCAACTACAGTCGAACCAAACGCAGGAAAAAGTTATTTCAACGGAGGTAGTTGAAAAAAAACTCAGCAGCTATTTCGAGCATCTAGAGGCCTCGCTAAAGTCTGCCTTTACAGAGTTTAGTGCGATCCAACTTTCTTCACAAAGCGACAGCGGGGCTACATCTGCGCAAACTGGGCTTTCTGACGAAGCACGCGATTCCATTTTGAATACTATTGAGCAATCCGCCCGTCTCCAGCATGAAAATCTCCTTAATGCGCTTGAAGATAGCATCAGCACGCACTTTTCAAAGATAGACAGCAGAGATAATGTCCAAAGCGCCCCCAAGGGGATTGATGTAGGGGCTCTGCAGAACTTTATCGAGTGCTCGCTGGATAAAGCCACGGATGACATTCGGCACTCTATTACGGCGGAGATCAAGAAGGCGATGGGAAAGAAATCACTGGAAGCCAATAAAACGAATGAGAGTAGTAGCAACGCTTGGCATGAGGAGATGGGGGCGTTCTCGTTGTCTATAGACAAGGCAGTGATGGCCGCGCAGAACGCGTTTACCCGCACTGAGGCTGTTGACGAAGCAATTCAGTTTGTAGCCAAAGACCAGAAGAAGATAGCGCAGACCATGTTGGATCTGAAAAAGCTTCTCCAAAATGAACTAGATACACGCCATAGAGACACTACTGGCGGTCAACCTTCTATTGTGGATTACCTTGGCGAGATAAGTCCTCTCATTGAGGACCTCAAAAAGTCCCTTGTCCAGTTCGATGCATCGATGGAGGTCCGACAGGGGCAAACTGAAGATCGATTGCTGAGCGTCGCTCAGGTAATCACAGAAAGTGTGGAAGCGGCGGTGGAGGCCCGCACCGCTTCCGTCCTAACCTCCGCCATCTCCACTGTTGATCAGCAGCTACAGCGAATTTTTGAAGTGATTCAGTCCAGCCAAGCAAAGGAGGAGCCCGCTCCAATCCCGCCTCCCCCAAGCCGAGCGGATATCGAAGCGGTTGTGGAGGCGGTGCTGGTGCCAAAGGTGGAGACGTTTATCGCACAGTTGGAGGGCGCAGTGGCATCCAAATGGGATCCAGACAACATGGCGCACTTAGCCAACAGCATTTCGAAGTCTGTGAGTCTTGTAATCGAAGAGGAATACCGCCGCCGAGAGGAGCAAGCTGCGAACGCGCCGCCGCCGTCGTCTGATCGTGATGACAACTTGACGGAAAGTTTGGATCGGCTCCGGGTTGACCTGGTTTCGACAGTGGAGCAGGAGATGGGCAAACCACACGAGGTCAACCTCACTCCGATGTACCAATACATTGACAGCATACTCGTGTTTCTTAAGGATTCTTTTGCTACACAGGAAACCAACCTGGATCGAAAAGTCGAGGAGCTTTCAAAAAACCTGTCGACTATGATGACTGACTCCATCGCAGCCCAAACCCAGGAACAACTGACAAAAGCCCGTCAACAGGAACCCTTGGCGATATCTGAGTCCAGTCCGGAGGCCAGAGAAGCTATGCACGCCGATGGGCAAGATGGGGACGCTCGTTCCGAAGAGGCGCTAGGGAAGCTCACCACCACCAAAAGTCTGAAGGGATTTATGGAGCAGGTTGAGGCTTCACTAGCTGAGGCTGTGGCGCCCCTTGCCGCATCCTTGTCTTCACGGAGTACTGACGATGCGGCTATCACTTCAACAATCACTGAGACCGCGATGACGCTTCGTAACCAAATTAGCGCAGTTGAAGATTCAATATCGCGACTCAGTGCGCATCATCATGAAGACATGGCCTCCAGTCTAAGTAATCTCTTGCAGACTGTCGATATGAAGTCCGTGAAGGAGGGCTTAACAAACATTCAGAGTGTTCTTGGTGAGCAAGCCGCCACTTTAGAGTCCCTTCGGCTATCAACGGACCGCGTTCTTGATGAAAAGCATGGCGTCGAAAAGTCCAATTCTGATGAAATCGCTCAGCGGTTTCTCAATTTTCAGACGCAGGTTTCGAACCAGTTTGAAAGCTTCAAAACACTCTTGGAAAAGATCGACCAGACAAACCAACAGCAGATTCTTACACTTGTACAGCAGATACAGGAAAATATACTTAAACTTCATGAGATGAATCAGAAAAACCAACAACAATTGGAGGATACGAGTGCCTCGGCTGATACTACTCCTAGCGAGGAGGTTAAAGATGATGAAGATAATTATGAAGATGTTCGAAAAATTGTCAAGGAGGCAGTGAACGAAGTCCTGAAGGGGGAACTAGTGACCTCTTTTCAGACTATTCAACAGGATTTGGCAAATTTAAATGAGAGCAAAGAGTCAACCAAGCGAGAGCTTCTTACCTCGATTGAAGGTATTACTAAACGGTTAGACGAACAAAAAGCTATTCAGTCGAGTGCTCCACCCATGCTCAAGAAGGACGACATAGAGTTGGCGATTTCTTCCCACACAGAAAATATCAAGCGATTGCTAGAGTCCCAGTCTACAAATTTGCTTCACGATGTATCGGAAAACCTCGCAATTCGAGAGGACTCCGTTTATACTCAGATCAGCGACACGATAAAGAGCACTCAGGCAGATTACGAGAAGAAATTACACGAAGGCATGGAGAAGAGTATGGGTAAACAGACCCAGCAATTCCATGGCTTTGTAGTTGGTGAGATCAACAGAGCTGTGGCGTCAGCCAAATCGAATGCCACGATCACAATTGATCCTCAGAGCATTGCAAAACAAGTCGTTGAGCTTTTAGAGGAACAAAACAATCTGAAACATGCGGTTCCTGACTTACCACAAGAAGCTATAGAACAAAAGGAGCCTGAAACGCCTGAGAGTCGTGAGGTATCTGCATCTTATTTACAACCCCCTATGTGGTGGCTTCCACTAATGATCTTTTCACTGTGTGTGGTAATTTTTGCGTGTGCGTACTACCTCTTTGCATGCTTTCTCTTAGCCTTTGTACCCGCCCCTGAACAGTGCCTTACACCTCGTTTGGAAGCGTCTGAGACCTTTCATCGTCATAATGTCAAATTCCAAGAAGCTAAGCGTGGACGGCGAGTAGTTGATCAAGTCCTGTGATGAAATATTAGATTCAAAGGGCCATCTCTTGCGTTTGAAGCTAGTAATGGAACAGGAAAGCTAGGGAAAGTGAACAAGGATGGAAGTTGAGGCCACACACCTTATAAACAAGAGATTACACCTTAAGGTGTTGTGCCCTTTCAGATGTTCTATTAGACCTTTTTTTCTACATCGTTTAAGAGTACATATATACATATGGTTTATACATTAAAAAAAGACTTTTCAAAAATCTATTAGCGATACCTCTTTCTTATTCTTTCTATAGTTTCTAATTCAGGATCTTTTTTTATGTATCGAACCTTACAAGGATATTGAAACTCTTATTTTAGGCTAGATTTAATCTCAACGCTACAACGCTTTATTTTTGATTCATTTATATTTAAGGAGAAAAACATCTGTACTATTGGATATCATGGGGTTTTTCTTTAGAAGTAGAGTGTGCTGTTTCTTTTCCTTTTATTCGTGGGTTTATTTACAATGGTAAAGAAATACATAGACAGGTTTTCTAACCTGATTCATAAACGTGGTATGACTAATCTAATTTTTCATCCCTTTTAATTTATCCACGGTTACCAATTATAGAACGCTTTATCTAAGTGTAAGATTTAATTTTTTCATTTCTTGTCATTACTTAGACGGGTTCTTGTTTCCTTTCACATGATTTTACTCAATTTCCACATGTTGCTCCTTCTTATTAATCTTTTCCATCTTTCTTTTTAAATCCTCAACTGACGTCGATTCAGTCCTAGGTGTACTAATAGTTTTCCTCCAGTTTAGAATCAACGGCGCAAAGACGACGCCATTAGAAAGGAAAAATTAGAGGAAACACAAAGCAAACGAAACGTTTTGAAAAGTGGGCGGCTAATAATACGACTATTTTCATAACTCACCTCCCTTCTTGCGCTCTTTCTCTTTGATTATCCTCGGTAATTCTTTTCTCACAATCCGTACTTCATTACGCTTACCTTTCTTTTCATAGTCCTACGATCATGCCCAGAGTATCGGTTGCCTCCGTCAAGAAGCCGATCACCCCTTTGGCGACCTTCAAGTTCCTGCGGCGCGACGAGGGCCGGCTCTCCTACTCCCAAAACGCCCCCGAGACGCCGTCATCGAAAGGGACCGACGCGTCCCGCGCCGATCGCGAGCGACGGGACTCCAAGTCCCTGAGGGAGGCCATCGCGTACGACATGCGCAACGCCCGCAGCCACGACCCCCTCGGCGAGGTCGTTGTGGCCGTCCCGAAGAAGGCGATCCCCCCCGGCC